ATTGAGGCTTCTCCCTGGAGAATTAAATTACAGGTTGAAAACAGATTCTGTCCAGTTTTCCAAGAATCAGCGCGTTGACCTTCATCACTCACCATGTCAGCAAAGTGCAGGATAATGAACGCGCTGTTGGACATGCGAGGTTTCCGGAAGTGTGGGTGAGGCTTGCTGGTCAGGTGTTGGTCGTATAGCTTCCGCACCCAGCTCTCATCTGAACCTTTGGGCATCTGATTATTACAGAGACTAGAACTAAACACATATATCACTAAAGCCAACAAGATCCACTGTTTAAAATAATCGCTAAGATTTTTACATTTAACTTAGTGCACATGCAAAGATTAAGCTGAATGCATTGTAAAAAAGAAGGTGAGAGGGGGACAGCGTGACTGACCCTACACTCCTCATCCAAAAGATCAAACAGGCCCAGTTGTCCCTCTATGAGATTGATGCACTGCTGATTGTCACTGAACTCGATCCTGCTCCAGGCCAGCTCTTCCCGGACGTACTCCTCCTGCTCCAAGTGGAACACGTGCTGCAGGCAAACACAAAATAATAATATAAAACCTGAAGCTTGGGACAAAATAAAATCAATTGCAATGACTCTAAACAGAAGATTCAAGGAGAAGGTGAATGAGTCGACCACGCTGAGGACAGAAACTGCTTGGAATAATCAACACGGTGAGGGCAGCTTGGCCACAAAGAACAGATCATCCCACTGGGGGGACAGTCTGTGCTTGTTTCCTACACAGCAGACAGGCCAAGACAGAGCAGCACTTGCTCCTCTATTTTTTATTCATCAGTCAATCATTTCTATTATGATCAAATTTTATAGCTCTTATCAAACCTGCTCTCAGGACTGGATTAAACTTCATGCTCCTCGGGTCAAATTCAAAGTGCTTGTGGAATAACCTATAATGCACTTGACACATTGATTTCCTTATAACATTGGGAGATTTTAGAAATACACATAATAATCTTTAATCCATAATTGCTATAATTAGAATTTTTTTAAACAAACTGATGTTTGTGCCCTTACTGCCTGTCTAATGTAGTCTCAACATCATAGAAAAGGAGGTTCCACCCCTCAATGTATCCCAAAATGTATGTAAACAGAGATTGAATGAATGAATGAAAACTTTAAGGAAGATAAACCTTAATTATCATAGCCTGCCACAAAACGTACCCTGTTGAACTGCTGTTGCAGTTTTTCATTCGCATAGTTTATACAGAACTGCTCAAAACTGTTCCGGTCGAAGGTCTCAAACCTGCTCCGAGAGAGAAGACTGGTCAGATTAACTTTGCAATAACACTTCAGACCATTTCATAATATTTCTGGTGCAAATAAACAAACTTTACCACAAAAAACTATTTGTATCCAGTGTCACAAAGCTCATCACTCACCCATAGATGTCTAGCACCCCTATAAAAGATTTGCTCTGTCGCCCCTGGGTGCGCAAAGCAGAGTTGAGCCTCTGGACAGTCCATGTAAACAGCTGGCCATATATGTGTTTGGCCAGTGCGTCTCTGGCTTCTACAGCCTGCTGACCAGACATGGGTTTGACCAGCATCTCTCCTCCTACAGCCAGTCTGCGTTGACACAGCCAGTGGGCCATCTGAGGTCCTTCCACACCTAACAGTTTGGAGAAAACAGCCAGAGAGCGGTCGTCTGCCTGAGGAAAAACAACATGTGTTTATAGAACAACTAAAGCACTCTGGGGGAGAGGAGACACAGAGTAGAAATACATTTCTTACATCAATATAACTCCGGTCAGAACTTCTCCCACTGGCTTGGATGTTGACATTTCCCAGGTGCAGAACAGCAGCCAGGATCCTGAAGAGCTCCATCTGTTGGTCAGGCTGCACACCTGCAATTTTAACAAATGCAACCAATATTTTGTTATATCTTCATAAGCAAGGTTCAGTTGTTTAGAAATCTTACAGGAGTCTGGACAGTGTGTGTGTGTGTGTGTGTGTGTGTGTGTGTGTGTGTGTGTGTGTGTGTGTGTGTGTGTGTGTGTGTGTGTGTGTGTGTGAATGCAACTACTCTACCCAGAATGGTGAAAGCATTGCGAGTACGCTCCAGGTCCGACAAATCATCAGTACCAGGAATATGAATCTCTCCTCCCTGGCTGGTGTAGCGGAAACGCTCAGGTCCATCTGAAATCCACAAAGAACAGTCAGACTGTATGCAAAATGGTCATTACAATACACATATATATGTTATGGACACAGGGAAGGGGAAAAGAAGTGTTGACATATTATTATTTTGAGAATGAAAACTCACCCAGTTTCAAGGCTCTCATTTCAGGCAGCTCTCTGGAGGCACACAGCTGGTAGAAGATATGGTAGTTCCTCTCTGCTGATGCCTGATATAAACATAAATATGTAGAGACAACTTACTTTTAACAAATGAAAGATTCTTGTGTACAAGAAATGTTTTTTATCATCATTCTGGCTAAAGAGCTTACTTGGAAGACAACCCTTGACTTCTCCAGGAGATACGTCCTCATGTTTGCCGCAATGATGTCGCCTTTTCTGCCAAAGCCGATCTCGATGTACTTCCCAAAACGACTGCTGTTGTCATTTCGAGTGGTTTTAGCATTCCCAATAGACTGTAGACAAAATTATTTGTTGTTTGTATCTATAAACCATAATTGACAGGAAGATCCTTATTCCTAAATAACCAATGTGTTCAACCATCCTTCACCTCCATTATTGGGTTGGAGGCCAGGACCCTTTCCTCCACGCTGGTCTGCTGTGCTGCTCCTCCAACCACAGCAAAGTATCGCATAGTAAACTTGGCTGAGACCGTTTTCCCTGAGCCAGACTCTCCACTGATGATGATAGACTGGTTTTTCTCCTCCCTGTACACACAGATAGCATAACTATCAAATCCTATATCAGTGTTGTTGCAGGTCCAAAGTATGAGCAAGAGAGAGTATAGGAAATATTTTAAATGATGTACAGTTTGAAAGGTCAGCAAACACTCCTGGTTGTCATGATGTGACCTTTAGCCTTTCACCTCTGACCTGGTCATGGTGCGATAGGCTTCCTCGGCCACAGAGAAGATGTGAGGCTCCATGTCGGCCATGTCCTGACCGCTGTAAGCATCAATCACCTCCTCTCCATATATGGGGAGCTGGTCATAGGGGTTGATGGCCACTAACACAATCCCTGGAGGGAAAGGAAAAGAAAGCGTCCCCAGAGTGTGGATATTGAAGGCACTAAGCTTTCATAAGATAGATCTAACAAATTTTATAAACAAATTTTCATGACAAAACCACACAAAAATTCATTTTTAGAAAAAAACACATTTAACAAACATGTTATTACGTCTTATGACAGTCAAATTGTATTACAGCTGGCAGTGAGGGAGTTGCCTCCCTGGCTCAACCTTTGACCTACTGTAATAAAGTCGACATTATGAGCTACAGTCAATCAGACAGAAGCACACAGGAGCTGCCTGTTGCTGGCATGAATCTCAATGACCTCATGCTGTCACACTTTTAGTTGGACAATCATCCCTGTCTGCTTTCGCCCATTCGGGGCTCACCACAGTATGTGTAGATGCTGCTGTAGTCCAGGAATCGAACCCGGAGGTTGTGCAAGACAGCAGGTTCATGGAGGAAGCTGAGAGCTGTCAGATCATTTTCCCCCTCAAGGATGTCGGGGTTCCCCAGCGGTGGGAGATCAGAGGGGGAAGCCACTGGGTAATTGACCTCCTACAAATGGTGAAGAAAGTTTGTAGTTGTTGTGGGAAAGTTAAAGTGATAGAGGACACTGGAGTTTAGCATGTTGCTGTTCTTTGAGGACCATGATGATGATCATATAAAGGTGACGTGTGTCTAACCTTTCCATTAGAGAGCTGTAGCAGTAGATGTTTCTCTCCAGGACTGTAGTCCTGGAGGAGTAGAGCTGACACCCAAACTGCATCTGGGTCAGGAATCCACACATTTGCTCCCTAGCAAAAGAACAGGAGAGTTTGCAAAACTGTAAAAATCCTGATTAAATAATAAAGAACAAAAGTAATCCTGTAGGTTGAACACAGTCTGCATGTACTTGAAGTTCAGGTAAATTTTCATGACATATTGCATTTTCTCTAACTTGTAACACGTCCCTGCCCCACCCAGACGAGATATTTGTCACCCATCAGCATAAAAGGCTCCTAAACAGTGTTAAAAATTAACACTGGTCATCCTACTCTAAATTGCTTGCATGGATTAGCCATTATCCACTTCTAACATATCTAATTGCCTTATTAATTTGTCCATTTTACAAACTAAAGCAAAACAAAGTTTACGGAAATAAGGATAGAAAATGACATATTTTTTGCAGATGAACACATTTATCCTTACGTGCAACCTCAAGAACACACAATCAGTACAGATATGAGCACTAAAACAAATTCTATGAAAATCTACATAGCTGGGGAAAGCTGACGAGCACATACCAGATGTCATACGAACCCAATAATGCTCACATCATTTGCGAGTTTTGTTTTTATATCTAAACCATTACTCTTCTTTAAAAGGACCCATAAACGTTAGGCCCTGAGCAGAGAACGATTAAGGGAACATCACTTTGTAAAACGCAAAACAACAACTTTAGTCAGTCTTACCTTGCTGTATAACTCCAATGAAGCCATCTTAACTACTTTAAAGTCTTCGGAAAAACATATTTAAACTATCCAAGGGGGTTACATCTACAGGAACATTCTGTATCCTCCACACTTTTACATGAGAGCCACTTTGTGTCCTGGTGACAGTATTTTGCACTTTGTCCAGGCTCACACACAGGCATGAGGACTGTCAAGTTAACTGTTAATCTGTGGGAGGATGCAGTGATTGGATAGAGAGATTTTCACTATGTGAACAGGCAGTTTGAATGATTAGAAAGCCTACTTGTGGAGAAGGTCAGATGTATCTAAATACAAGTTTAACCAGTTATAAATGCGAATGTACAGTGTTTTCAGTACGAAGGAAAAAAAGACACTAGCAGAAGAGTTATTGACATACGGACTCATTTTAATAAGCAATACAATCAAATTCATTTCAGCAATCAGCCTGCTGATATTGAGAAGGGAATTTCATGATGTGGGCTGGATACATTATTCACCATCAAACCTTGACAAACAAACAAAAAAATACAAAATAATTATTCCTCAGATAATAAATGAAATGACTTTAAAACTATTTCTTAACTAATTTGCTGTGTCACCAATTTTGTGCGTGGGTATAGGAGGAGGCAGCATGTGTGTGGTAACATTGACACATAAAAAAGAAGAGAAAAGTGGACTGAAGCTGTGACAGAAACAAAGCCTTGGCACTAAACAGCAATGTTTCACAACACCAGTAAGCACCTATGATGATGATGAGTTAAAAACAGTAATAAAAATATTACAGAAAGAGGTTTCAAGTCATGTCTTTCCCATTGTGCTCAGCCCCCTCGTGTACCTTTTACTGTCCTTATTTTTAGCTGTACAACAGCAGTGCCAATATAATCGTTTACGGTAAAATACAAAGAAAACTTTTTAAGTTACACGCAAGTCAACCTACACCCTCTTTAAAATGACATGTCTCCTCTTTGGTCAATACTGACTCAGGATAACACACCTGACATTATAGACAATAGTACAGCAAGAAAAACTTGACTCCGTCCCCACTCCAACCAATGTAAACGGGATTCAAACTACGCCATCTGTATTAGTAACATCACTAGAAAAGATGGTCTGTGTTTAGTGTCTACTCATGGAGTGCATCATAAAATTCAAGAGACATGTCGAAAATACAAAACATTCATTTCCAATCTGCCCAAAACAAAAGAAAAAGCACCCAGATCGAACTTTCTTCTGACATAAAATGTTTGGATTTGACATGATTGTCACAAAAATACATACCCATTCAAAGCCTTTTAGTAAAAAATACGCTCATCATCGAACACTAAATTTGACAAACTGTAGATAAGTTATTTTTTAATATTTGCAAGTTCATTTAATGTCATTTCTTTTTTAAATATTTTAAAATGTCCTAGTGAAAAATCAACTGAGCTCAGAAACACATCAAGTGACTTAATTGGAGTTGAAGTCGAGGAGTCCCATCCAGTGGACCTAATGATGAACAGACACATTTGAGACTCCAAAGTTCCCAAGGGGAAGACAGTTCTTTTAGGTTGAACGGGACCAGTGTAAGTCAGGTTAAGGTTTAAGTTGGACGCGGATACAAGGGGACAGCTCATCAGGGCTGGACTGCTGCAGGGCTCCTACTGTTCATGAGCCTGTGTGTGTGTGCAGGCGTTGAACAAACCCAATCCGGACTTCACAAAACCCTACAAGAGGAAGGATGGACAAGATAAGAAACATATTCTCAAGTTGTTGTGTTTTTTTTTTTTATTCCTAGGTTGCATCTTATATTGTGTAATAACCCATGCACTACGTACAAAACTCATGATATGCTTTAAGCTGCAACAAGCTTTTATTTTGTAAACATTTAACCACGGTCTGTATGAATACTTGATTCTGATTGGCTGCAGCGTGCCCATTAATTCCCGATACAGGACACCTACCATGTAGTTACACTGAAACTCTGTTCACTGTTCTAAATGAAAGCGCTGAAATACACTAAATGAAAAAGAAAATCTCAATATCTTATTCAGTGCCTTATTGTGTGAACACCACATGATGGCGACTGTAACACACAAAGCCCCTTCACTGCCCCTCTGAACTTATGGATACTTTGTTAAACAATAGCCTCACATCTTCACATATTCAACTCTGTAGTTCAGGCTGCGTCCGGCAGTAAGTTACATACGCACTATTATTTGTTCATCTGGATATTGATTTGAGAACAATGACATCTCTGGATAGCTAGCTGGTCTTGTTGTTGAGCATGCTGTCTAATTATATTTACTGTGTCAACCGTGCATCGTGCCAGCACGTTAGCTCTCTGGCTCGCAGCTGAGCCTCCCCATTGTTCTTTAACTCCTGATAATGGACACCGCGTCCAGCACTATCCCTCACTTAAAATTTGCTCATAAGCCTAAATTGTCCCTTAACCAACCTGTGCTATACGCTCTCCATATCTTCACTGCCGTTGCCTTCCTCCTTCAGAGCCTCTCCTTCGTTCGCAGCCTCCTCGACGTGGGCCAACATATCAGCCATCAGTGCCTCTTCCAGCCTTTTCCTCACACTGTACACCAGCTCCTCCTGTTTCCTACACATGAACACAACAGGAAGCTGTTACAGTTGGCAGTTACAGCTGCCTATAACAGCCACTGAATCAGCACACAACAGATGGTGTGTTTTTACAGGGTCACTCCTTATGGACTGTGGGATTTCTGAACAGACGCAACTCAGTTAAGCTTCGGGTGAATCAAGGTTGACAAAGAGTGACTAGGAAATCTTCAAGGTCATTTCTAATTTGGAAGATTTTCTGTTATTTTTATAGTTGTTATTGTGCTTCAGCATATAAAATAGAAGCCGATATCTGATGGTCTGGTAAAGCCGATAACATATGACATTATTCACACTGCCTCAATTGTAATTTCCTGTTTTTAAACACACTGGAGGAGATCTGAGAAAGACTTGTAACGCAACTATTTCAAGCACATAGGCTGATACTTTTTTTTCTCAAAGCCACAAAGGGGCAATAACAAGGAACAGGAAGTGCATTTTAGATCTGACTCTTGGATACTGGCTCAGGTAAAAACCAACAGGTGATCTGTATGTGGAGATGTTCTGTGATGGCTCACCTGATGTCCTCATCAGTGACGATGAAGGCCTTGCACAGCGGCTGAGCCGTGTTAAGCCACACTCCTGGGTTCTTCTCCACGGCCGCAGACAGCTGGCCCGTGATGGGAGCGGCACTGGTGTGCAGAGCGCTCGCAATAGCCGACAGGAGAGTCTTGTCTGTGCAGCCTGGACCAACACCTGAGGGACCAACCGGGAGGTTTTAGGACATTTTAAAAAAGGAACATCAAAGCTTTAACTGCACTCAGGATTAGTTACATTAAAATAAAAAATGTGCTATACTGACATGATAAAAAATAAGAAAATGTCACTTTGCAATATAAACTGTTTATTTTCTCTGGAGAATCTATGTTTAACCTATATTACCTTGCAGTCCTTTAGGCAGTTCCATTGTTTTCACAAGCTCCTCTGCGATGTCGTAAGCATTAAGACCGCTGAGTTTCTTCTCCCAAAATAGCTGCGGACAAAGAGTAATATTACCTGTCAACAGTCTTAACAGAAAGAAAAACCCCAAAAACGCTTCCAGAGCCAAAAACAAATCCATCATCAACATATTTAAACTCAAGTCTGGTTCATCCAGTTTGGAGGAAGTAACAGTGTCACATAACATGTGTTTCAGGTTTGTATGGGAGAGGATGTCAACTGTAACAGGCAGCGGTTGTTCACCTGTCTGGGTTGGTCAACTGCTTTCTGCGGATCCGTCTTCACTTTGTTGTTTGGGTGGTTGGTAACCTTTGTAACAGGCTGCTTAAAGATGGAGGCAGTCTGTCTGACTGGGAGCGATGTGTTCAAGTCAGGTTTGCCCTTAAAAATAACAAACAGGATAAGGACAGGATGAATTTTTAAAAAAGGCATGAATACAGAATATTACATGTTATTCCACAAAACTCTATTACAACCGAACAAAAGGCATCTTATTCATTCAGCTCTGAGAGGTTAACTGAGACTATGTCAGTACTCAGTTAACCTGTATGATCTAGTGTACGTAATCAAGTCTGAAAGGGGAAAAACATAACTGTACTGTTGCTTTTATCAACATACTGCCAGCTGGTGTGCTGATGAACATAGTCAGACATTATATACAATTATTCATTAAAACCTTTTTATACCAGATTCATCTGAGGCTCTATGGGTCCATATTAAAGTCAGTTTAGTGCAGTGGTTCTCAATTATTTTCTGTCATTCCCCCCCTAGGTGAGAGAATTTTTTTCACGCCCCCCCTGAATTTTAATACTATTGAGAACCTGATAATATTTATTTGTACAAACCACTGTATGAGTTGCTGGCACCAGCATTCTGCATACAATCACCTGATTATCAAAATAGATTAATAAAATGAGCTGCAACAACTTAAAACAATTTCCAAGTTCAGTTTATTAACTCAATTTGTAACATTTAAACAAGACTGCTCAGTCTGTGTGATTCTCAAAACAGAGAAAGAAGTTCAAATGATTCACTGGGATGTGCATTTTTATAGACTTAACAGTAACATTCAAAACTTTAAACTGTAAACATTGGTCACCCTTCAACTTCATCAGCTTATTCCTTTTCAAAAAGGTATACGACTTTTTAATGTTTGTTTTTTTTTGTGCAAAATTTGCAACAATATTACTTATATTTAACGTTTATCTGTTAGATGTTCTGTGAGTTGTTCTTGGAGGTCGTCTGAAATGTCAAATATACGTCTCCCAATCGTGTCATAGGAGAGAGGGACAGTATTCAGTGTCTCAGCACTTTTCTCACCTATGATTTTGACCATGTTCAATGCTGCCGGAGTATTAGCTCCTCTGCTATCGTGTGAGGTTTTTTTGCACCTTACGATGTGGCGGTCTTTGTACGAGCCTAAAGGTGCTTTTTTATTTACTGATGCCGCGCTCACAAAATGACCGGCCTGTTGGCGATATTCATCGAGCTTTCGATGAAAAAAGTCCAGTGGCTTATTGACTGAAGGTCTCCAGGTGCCGTCTTAATTTGTTTGTCCTGGTCTTATTAAGTTTATGCTGGTTACTGTCACTTGCTGTTCTTGCCTCCGACGCCTCCTCTGTTTTTTCTTTTTACTCCTATCAGAAACTTCTCCACACTTTTCTGTTTAAAGATGCCACTAAAGTCCCTACTGTGTTAAAGCTAAACAAGGGATTCTAGTATGCAATCCATGTCTAAGTGAGGGTGCTTCACTTGAAGCGTTTGATAAGTTCACGCTTCACCATACTACAGTTCAGTTTCAACCTGTAAAAACACAGCGTCCAGGTACCACCATCAGTTAGCAGTCATTGCTGGTCATCATGAGCCCGTTCGTCTCACCTTGTTCTGGTTGTTGTTATCATAGCGCAATCTCTGGCGGTTCTTGTTCAGCTTGCTCATCAGCATCTTCCCCGTGCGGAAATCAAAGGAGCTGAGGTCCATCTGGTTACCAAGGTAACGGGCCAGCTGAGGCTTGCTCCGAAACTTCTTCCCAGATGGACTGGCAGGGGAAGGCAGAGACACGAAAAAACCACCATATTAATATCATCTCATACAAAAATGAAAGAAAGAAGAGAAAAAAAAAAGGTCAGAACAAGAACAAGACATCAAGACGGACAGTCAAACCGAGATGAAGGCAGAGAAACAAAACACACAGGTCACACTTCAAAAATACACATACACAGCAGACAGAAAAATCACAAACAACGACCACAACATGCAACAAGTCAAAAGCAAACAGCAGCAGAGCACATTCAAGTGGGCGATGGCACTGAAATCACATTACTTTGTGAAATGGATGCAATCTTTGATGAAGACTCTACGTAAGCCCTGTTAACTGTTAACAAGCTGCACACACTGTAGTATAAAGGAGTAACTAAGCTATATATATATGTATATATATATATTAAACACACTGGAGAGCATATTGTACACACAGCCCTGACACTAACCTGTGAGAACCAGTGAACACAATGTAACATGGCGATTACTAACACTTGACCAAATGTTTCAGAGTGGAAACATTGTAACTCCACTTGTGAGAGCAACAACATCTTTTTAGCCTGAGCAATGGCCAACAAAAGGAACAACTGTGGGTGGATACGTGCTAGTAACTCATGCAAATGTCTCTTACATCACACACCACAGTTAACACCAGTAAGATTGTACAGTTAGCCTACCACAGACTATACAACCGACCCGCCTCCCCCCTCTCTTGCCTCTGCTCCTCATCTTGATCGTCTCCTCTGCTAAATGAAAACAAATCTGGCGTTGTTGATTCACTTCAATGGGGAATAAAAAAAGTATTAACTGAGAAGACACTGAGTTTTATTCATCAGGGGGAAATAAAAGGCCCTCTGCTAGGCGTGAGCTGCTGCTGCTGCTGCTACTACTACTAGCCTGCACGGTTGGACAGACTCTTTATCCAAACACTTTGAGAGAGGAGCTGGCCTGGTTGGCCTTGTTGCCCTACTACAAACATACCACCCCCCCTCCCCAAACTTTATACCGACCACCGTCCCCCACTTATCACACTCCTGTCTGTTTCCGCAAACTCGGTGTCTTGTGAACCTCTTTAAGTTTTGCAAGCCCTCGTTCGTTTAGTACCTAAAATAATAGACATCGCTTTTTCCAGCGGACAAACCCGACTTTCTGGTCACTTCTTCCATTTTCCAGCCCTTGGGGAGAGCAGTGCAATCCCACCTTTTCTTCTCCATTTCCCACGCGAGTAGCCTATAAATCCACTAAAAAGTTAATAAGCAGATTGGCTTTTAAGGAAATGTGTCGATTTTTTTTGGATGGCAGGCCTATCGCTTCTTACGCTTTTGTTTCGACCATATTACAACATGCGTCCTCAGTAATGGGATCTCCCTGCTAACAACATCTCGTCTCTTTGTCGTCGCGCAGATCGCTCCGCCGCGTCTCAGCCACATCACTACCTGCCAGTCTCGCCGGGGCATGAGGGCTACATCCGCAAGGATAACATAGGACATCGCGGCCATAGACATATATACTGACTTCAGATTAAAAGCACACATTTGTCACGTCGTCAAACGTGCGCTGTCACTTAACTCAATTTTATGTCAAGTTTAAAAAACAAAAAAGCCCCAGACATAAAACGAGTACACTGAATATTAAAAATGTTTATATTTAAAGTTATTATCAAATTATTTCACTATTCTAGGTTCTGTCGTTTATTATAAAGTTGTTTTGAATTATATTCTATTATTGTTCTTCAGTCTATCCTATAATTGTTTTTATGTCCTCTTAGGTCTCCCTTACAAATCTACAGATCTCAATCTCAGCGGGACTTTAAGTATGTTACCATTAATAGGATTTTTTAAAAATACAATAATTATATACAGTAATTATAATTTCTAAATGATGAACGCGCAAGCAAGTACATATTTAATACTTATAATATAAAAAATAAAATAATATTAACTCACTATTAACTAAGATCCACTTACTAGCTTTATATAGAGCATCCAACTGCATGTCATGGCCCCCATCTTGAATTAAAATATTTTAAAGTCTTTGAATACAGTTTTCATTTTGTTTTTAACTGACTGGTTAACCTAAGAGGTAAAGTGAAAAATGATTTCCATTGTGAAAACACCAAACTTTAGACCAAGAACCATCGACAGTATATATAAGGCAAGAAACCTAAAAACAAGGTTTCGTAATTGAAGTCTTTTGTTTTGAAACGTGATACCGGAAGTGTTATTTTCCGTCCTGTGTACCTTGACGGCGGTGACCACTAGCGCTACACCAATGGCTACGTTAACCTATGGGAAACATAAATCAGGCTACTGCTCCCAAATAGACCGTAAATAGTCACCACGCAGATGCATGACAACAATCACGGACGCCACTAAATAATTAAAACACACGAGATGTGGTCAAATATCGACACTTAGTCCGAGATCAGTGACACAAAATGTGAAAGTTTTTACGTAAACTAAGCTACATGAAACCGGAGAGCCGTTTCACCACGACAATGCCCACCGTTGTCATTCAGACTTGGAGCCGGCTTTTATGAATGAACAAAGTAGATCTTATTGATTAAACAGCAGGCACCATTTTAACAGCATGTCATGCATCCACGGAGGCTTTGTGTATGTATCAACGATGCAGGAAAAAAATAAAAAAATATGATCTGCTTTGTACGATTAAAAGCGACTGTGTAGTCGACGCAGTACGCTACACCGACTCCATGATTAATTCAACATTAGCTGTAAATATCAGCAAGAATAAACCATGATACAACAATGCTTTCTTTCTTTAAAAATAGACCGACATCCTAGCTGGAAACCACAGCGTTGCTATTTGCAAAATGCGAGAGACCACCGAGTGCATCTGTCTAATCGATGATAAACACACTTTCCGATTATATTATAAAAACGACACATCGCGAGTTAAACGCTACAGTTACAATTTACACCATCCTCGGTGGTTTCACTGCCCTTTAAGTGATGTACTTACTCGTTTTTATCCATCTTGAAGACACTATCTCGTTTTCTCCCTCCTGCTATGTTAAATCCCTTCTCCCCTCTCCTCTTTCAGTCCCCTCCCCCTTCGATGGGAGAAATGAAAGACATTATCCACGCAAATTTCGCAGTCTGGCTGATAAAATGAGTTTAGTATCTGGCCTAACCTGGCGTATTCTCAGTGTGCAATTAGACCCTTAATACATGGGGGAATATGAGGGATTCGTCATGCATTAGGAAATATATTATCAGACTTTTACATATGGTTCATATATATATTTATTTCACACTTTTACAGTGAATTACAGAAAATATGAGGTCAACAAACTGCTCCAGTATATCCAGTTCTTCAAACATTATTGGCAACATAATGGATTTTAACAAACCTCTCACCAAGCAGTTTAAAAACTAAACATTTTAATAGCTGGACTCTTGCAGAATAAATGGGACACATTGGGGTAAAGTAAATATTTATTCACAAATCAAATAATACTGGATCAACAACAGAATTTATACAGAGTGCTTCCCGTTGTCCGAACTCCTAACAAGCCTTCAGTGACTGATTGTTGAGCCAGGGTATCCCCCTTTAAGCTTGCGTTGTGTAAGCAATGCGCCCATGAGCCAATTCCCAAGCTCTGGTCCTGTAGGCAGACACACACCCCATTCATTAGCAGAATGTACAAAAAACACGTGTGTTTAAATTCGTGAAAAGCACATCCTTCCTGACTCTGAGTATGAATGTCTGACAAGACTGCACTCAAGTAGAGGAGTGGGAGTGGCAGAGGGTTGTGTATAAACTTTAATAGGGCTTGAAAATATCAATATAATGTCTGTAATGTGATATCAGAATTGATATCATGGGAATTGTCTGACATTTAGGTTGAAATATAAGTAGTATAATACTGATATTATAGTTGGCTAATACCAAAAAGTATTGCCACATTATTGATTAATGTGAACACAGTAAAAAATATGATATACCACTAAAAACACAAAAATACATCTGAACAACTGAAACTGATATAACTGAAATCTTGCATCATTTCTCTAAACCTTTACTGTCATAAACTGACCCCGTTTCTATTTTTATACTAGTCTGACCTCCTTGCAAAGCTTTAGATTAGACAGAAGCATAACACCTTTATGCCTGTACAGTTATCATCTAACAAGCTTACAAGAGCAGCTTGATCTCTGTGGCCATTATTCATCCAGCCTACAGTTTGCTTTGGTTAGTGAGCATTGCAGATGTTTAACAATAAGAGACCTCAGTATGAGGTTACTTGTGCAGATGCATGACAGGAGTTCAGACCAACCGCCAGGTGTATGCAAGGTGACGGTAACTTTAACCAGTACGCAGACTGTTTATTTGAATGTTCAGTTCCAACACCTGGCATGGCCAACGCCTGTCTGTATCTTATCAGGAGTACATGGGTGGGGCTAAAGCTAATGAGCAATCCAACTGAACACTGCAAACACAGCGTGTGAATGAAAGCTCAGTTACACAAGCGTTGGTTATAATAACAATACACTCACAATTGAGTTGTGTGGGACTTTACTCATCCTTGGTGAACTTCCCTTTAATGTATGGCACATAGTCAAGAAATAATCGCCAGTCTGTGAAGTGAACGAGTGCCACTCCGCCAACTGTTCCCCAGGCGACCATATTTGGTACCCTAGATGGAAGAAGCCAATGGGATTCATAAATGAGGCATTTCACCACACAACCAACTGTAATACACATATCAAGACCAACTTGGATAATTACACTCCTTCGTTCAGGTGGCACGAGGCTCTTACAAGAGAAACCTTACTCTTGCATGCACACTTCCTGAAGTCTATGTACAATCTGAACATACAGAGTAAAGGTGGTTGGAACTCATTTGTCCATATTTTTCAGTTTAGTTTTAATTGTTTGAAAATGTTCAGTTTTAGTTTAGCTTTTATTAGTTTGAGTTCTTACAGCATCAGGGTGTCAGGGGAAAGATTTAACCAGTTCAAAAGAGGTATTAAAGTAAAGTTAGTTTTGTTACGTACACAATAACATTTCAGTTAGTCTTTATTTTTATTTCTGTTAACTAAAATGTTAACGTAGAAATAACTTTGCTGAGAATGAAACAAAGTTAGCTTGGGCACTGGTTGAATTTGTGTATAGGCAAAAGTGAATTAATGAATAAACAAAGGGTCATTTATAAGCTAATCAACGCACTGATAGATTAATAATAATATAATAATCTTTACAAATTACCGCCTGAGTTTTCCTGTTTGCACTTTACAAGGTCAGTTATTGTGCTGTGCATTCAAGATGTGTTTACACAAACAAACAGCTGTCAAGTATTATTGACTTAAACTCTAAACATTCCCTAAACACAATCATCAAGTGATGAACAATAACAAACAAATAAAAATAAAAACATATATCTTCAGGTAATTAACGCATGTATTGACTACTAATAATAGTAAATATGAGACTGATACACATTATATAATCTGACTGTGCAGAACTATGACATAGATAGAGATATGCTCCACTATATAGCAAAACAATGTCAACAGTATTGTACTGAGATACTAAAGTAAAGCAAATGTTATAACAATTCTGTGACACATTTAAAATAACAATAATCACAAATAGAAATGTTTACAGTGCCAATGTAACCACTGCGTCCTCCACTAACCGAGCCGTTCAGTTATTTAGATAAATCACTATTCAGAAGATTATGCTAAACTAGCCCAGCCAGCTAAAGTGAGTAGGAAATAAACAAGCATGCTAAGCTAACGTTGTTTAGTGAAAGCAGACGGGTCACACAGAAGGACACACACAGCGGCGTCGATAACATTATTATTATTATTATTATCATTATTATTATTGTTGTTGTTATGAACGTGACAGAAACGCGCTCTGCTCCTCCTCGGTTGGTGATTTAACTTACCACGCCCTTACAATAGCAATGTATTTGCCGCCGATGAGTTTATTAAGTATTTTCTGGACCATCCTGACCTTCTGTCAGTGCTAGTTGTTTACTCCATGCAATGTTTTCTCCGTGATGGCTGTAAAGGACCCTTAGCTGCCCTTTGTAACGCCTGTTAAAAAAAATAGATATATAAACGGGCTGCGTAAAACCTATAGCTGAGGGTCGTTTCGGGTCACTATTTCAAAAGGTCTGTTTACAACATAGCTGTTTTATTTAAAAAAAAAAAAAAAAAAAAAATCAGTTTCTATCAACTATTCAGCTGTAACTAATACTGCAGACCTGCGCGTGTTGACTGTGAAATAATGGGATTAAATGGTATCATGTCTTAAAAAGAATGTGGTGCCTTGTTGCATAATCAGAAAGAAAAGAGGAAATAAAAGTCTCACGCGTTTGTTCCCTAACCGTCTATTGGCAATGGAAAACATGAACAAATTCATTTTCCAACTACAATAAACCCTTTATTACAATGTTTTCCTTTATTTTCCTTTTTATGTATACAATATTCAAAAGCCAGACATTGGAAAAGGTATAATCTGTTATTAAAAATGGCACATTTATTGCTACATTACTGTTATATACAGGACAGTTCTCAACTATATATATTTATATATATATATTTATATATATATATAAAAAAAAAAGAGAGAGAGAGATTGAGTGAGACACTCTGAGGACCTTGCAGGAGTCAACAGCGTCCTCACTCCATGATGTCAGGCTCTGTACCTGTGAATGTATTAACACTCAATAGTCTCCCCCCTTTTTAGTTCAACAAAGATATGACAAAATTGTTGAAAGCAAGTGTTTTATTACTGCTTTCTTATACCAAAACAAGTTCAAGCCTGTCAACTGAACATTTCCCATCATAATCTTGTCATTTTCTGTTGACATTATTTGCTCCTGCAGTGGTTGGGTTGCTTTTCTGCAGATTTCAGACTGTATCTATGTCAAGACTTGAGTTAACAAATAAGGATCCCCCAAACAAATTTGAGTATGTATCTTGTAGGCTAATGGGATGTTCACAGAATACTAAATGACATCAAGTCAGATTTTCCCTTGGAACAAATCAGCAATATTCAGTACACTTATTGATCTTGTAATAATAAAAAGCAAAACTTCAAATACAACTTGTTGAAAGAAGTGATCAGAACTTCTCACAAAAAGTCACCGTCAACGCCATCAAAGAGCTGGAAGAGTAAAAGGTCAGAGGTGAAAATTGTCACTGGAGACTAAATATACTGAAAGTCACTGCAGCAAAGGGCTTGCACTCTGATATACAGAAATTTAAAATGCTCCAAGTCATTAGAGGCTCCAGCTACTACGGAAAATAAAACTCACTCCCTACATTGAAGTTGAAGCAACACATACACTGAAACATGTTAATGTGCATCAAAAGCAGACAATCCGAGCCAAAAGCAGCGTCTCTTGAACCCCGTAATGTCAATTGATTTAGCAATATAGGGCAGAGAAGGAAAACTCATGACCTGGACCCATGACCTTAACTAAAACAGCAGTTTGGACAATATAATCCAGTTGAATAATTAGAAAAAAAGGAATAAAACTAAACAAGATCTACGTAACATTTATTTATTTAACTAGATACACTGAAAGAAAATCTCTTTATACCATTTAAACTTCTTCCTGAAAATTGAAAAAAGCATTAGGAGAAGGGAGGGTGGGGGAATGAACAAGTACCTCTTTAATCTCCATGATAAATGAAATGATATGGTTCACAAAATAAAACTGTCTTAAATGAAAATACAAGTTCAGGCACTGATAAGGTATCACTCTCCCATCATGTCATCTTAAGTCTTGAGAATGAAAAGGCCACACTATTGATTTGTATAGGTCTTTTTCTTCATCTCTTTTTGTAGAAATTAAACACACAAAATGCTCTACCTCCCATATGTGATTACATGTTGGTAAAAACCATTCACAACATGACATGACATGGGAATAACATCACAATAACACTGTTTTGTTCTCCTTATTATCCATTACCTTACACCCAAATACCGACGTCTGCCTCCAAAATAAATGCGCGGGCTACTAAAAAGTGAGCCGCACACTGAGGGCCACTTTGTTGAGGGCAGACATTAGAGAAAGGTGAAATGAAATCTACTATACTGTACTGAGAAAAAAAAAAAAAAAAAAAAACGCAGGAACACAACATTGAAAATGAAGGTGATCCACATTTGTATGGTAGCTACATTCAAAAACCAGTTGCATAATTACTGTTAGAGACAAAAATCCCTTCCCACATTTTTCCTCAGTGCCTCACTGCTAAAGTAAGAACACTTCAACAGGACTGTGGCACAAACGCTGTCCACATACCCCCAAATGGAAAGAAAAAATTCATCTGGGTAGCTGATGATAAGCTTTACAACTTAAACTGGAATAAAGGATACACCAAACGCTTTCAACATTTTTCATCTGCTGACCCCATGTCCTCGGTCATCCCGGTTCAATTTTGAATTAATTTTTGAACAATTTCATTTAAATGTCAAATATCCCCTTCCCATTCAGCTCATCTACAATACACTCTAAACTTCAAACTAATATTGCCATTTATGTAAAAAATCTACAATGTATAGACTAACAAAAAATATATATTTTTATATATATTTAATTTTGAAAAATGAAACATATCAGAGTAATGTATGAAGTGAATTTACACGTCACACTTCTCTCGGTAAGAAATGTGACAAACTTACTCAGGAGGAAGGTGAGGGGCTGTAATTCAGTGGGAATGCTCATTTAGGAAAAGAAAGCCTCTGTCATACAAAGGCTTGTCTGCTTCAAACAACTGCGGACTGATGAGATCCCTCCGTCAAAGGAACCCAGATTTTTTTTGTCTTTTACAGAACATCAATTAAGGGGGAAAGACTTCAGCTGTTAAGTCTGCCGGCATTGTCAGTAAACCATTTCAAGTAAGTAAGAGCACTAAGTGGTGCTGATCACTTAGCAAGTGTCTCAAATGGCTTTTGTACAAGATTTTCAGGGACTGAAATGCACAACAGGTTCGACGCTTAACTTCCAGCCTAAACCTATACAACTGTGCTTTATCTGGTCTATGTATGCTTTAGTACATAAAGCAGTACAAAAACCTGAACCTATGACAAGGGATTACTGGAGTAACTCTAGAATTTGTGGTCAACAAATAGGAAGAACAGTTTTGTAGTCGACAGACTCTACCATTTGGATAATTCATAAACCTTCAAGGAAGGAGTCTTCTATTCCAAGCCTCCAGATGCCTTGTGGGATGAGAACGGGCTTCAGTCAGAGACTGCCTCTGGGCCAGAGTTCCCGTCTTTTATAAGCTGCTTTTGGACTGTCAAAACTTTGACCTTTCCCTAGTGACCTTTCCATTGCCTTCCCCAAACATTTTACGATAAGATCAAGGAAAGGTCACTGAATTTAGACAATTCAACTTCAACTATGGGCTTGGTTACATAACATATGTAAGACTGTACCATCACGCTGGGAATGACATACATTAAAAATAATTGCTCATACACATAAGCAATCCCTCACAATAAATGTTCCTCACATGTAAAGCAATTTGCTTAAATGTCAAATAGAAAACATGTAACAATTAGGCACAAATCCTTGATTCAATTTGTGTTTGTTTAGGTCTCCTTTCTTTCACAAGAGCACCTCTCGGCAGTGTGTGAAGTCCCAATTTGTGGCAGGACAAAAAGTACTCCGGTATTCCATAATTCTTGTGGAAACCAAGAAGAAAAAAAAAAATCTTACATGTATAAAACAAAGCAAAACTAAAAAAAGTTCTTCACATTTGAGCTTGTAGTCATGGTTGGGAGTGCGACAAACAGGCTGTGTCAGTTTTGGCAGTATGCATGTGTGTACGAGTGTGTGAATGTGCATCTTGAAACTTGAACGGACAATACACAGACATGTCCACATATACACACACACACTGAGAATAATGGGTGGAAGAAATCTGTTAAGGCCACATCCTCTGACAGCCAAGGAAACACCACCAGATCTGTAAAAAGGAAGGACCAAAAACAATATGTTATAATTTTCCTATATAACAAAGGCATCAACAAAATATTGATACTGAGCCCACTGACTCCTACAAACTAGTGCATTACTTATTTTAAGTTATAATCCTTAAGATTTTCATTAAATCAAACCACATATTTGCCAGCAATTGCCAATTAATTTTCTTTTACATTCTGTAATGACTGTTTGTAGTGGAGCCTGCCATTCCCATGCTGGATTCAAGGTGCCTTCACAGGAAATTACTGCTATTGCAAACCAAACATGTTCTAGTCTTGACTAACATTAAAAGCATTCAATTGGTGAAACAGTAGCTTTTATTGTGACACAGTCACAGAAAACTCAATGTATTAGTCACTGCAGTTAGAGTCGACAACTTTAAAAAAATACATCCATAAAACAAGACGACATTTTTACATTTTTTGACAGCAATTCAGGAAGTAATGGAATAAGAAAGAGCAGCTGCAGTGAGCTGTGAGCAGTGGGTACCATACATAGTAATTACTGCAGTAGCCAATATTCAAGGCCTACCTGGTGTTACATGTGGCCAACTGGGTTGTGGCCATCTCCTCCCATACTAGGATGGCCTCCTGAGAGCTGCATGGCTGCCTCACCCACCACCCCGGACACCTTCTCCTCCTCACGGCGTTTTAAACATGCTGCCTTGGGGTTAAGGTTACGCTCTGACAGATACAAGAGAAAACAGAAGCAGGCCATCTCAGTATAAAAGAATAACAACCTGTATATTTAACAGGGGTTAACATAACTGTGCTTCCCATCCATGATGAGCTGCTTGCAGACTGACCTCTGACTTGTTGTTCTAAATTGAGGATGACATTGACGGCTTGGTGCAGGATGAGAAGTTTGGTCTGAGGTTTGTCATGGCTGAGGTGCAGCTGGCACATCCTCCCAAGCTCCTTAAATGCCTCGTTGATGTCCCGTACTCTGAGACGCTCGCGGGCATTGTTAGCCACTCGCCGTTCCCTCTCGCGCTCCATCTTCACCTCAGGGGGAAGGTCCTCGTCATCTTCCTCTGGACTAGTTGCAAATGGAAATGAAATGATAAAGCCACAGGCAGGAAGGAACTTCAAAACAGCCCATTAAACACTATTGATGCAACGTTATGACTAGCATTTAGCAGCTTAAGTTTAGCTTTGATAGCAGGCTCTGTACACCCACAGTTGAGCTTTGAAATTAATGGATGCACTACAAATAAGACGTGCGAGAAGTTAATTGCATACTATATAACAGTGTATACTACTAAAACATCCTAGAAGAAGCATTTCCCACTTCAGATGATCATTCAATCAAAATGTTTATCCCACATTGCACTGTTTTGTGTGTTTTGTTATAACAAATCTATTGTTTTGCCTAATATATTTTAATTTCAAATTAAAATCTCAAAACTACTTTGAAGCATAGGTTAGGGCTGTTCCCGACTCAGAATTTTGTCCATTGGTTTGATTTGGCTGTTCAATACGAAAGATCGCCTATTTGTACCTTTTTTTCTAAGTTCAATGCCACACTAAACCTCTTTAAATCAGCAGTTCCTGCAGTGAAAACAAGGCTAAATGAGTCTGATGTTTTAGCCTACCTCACATTTTAAAGCTTTTCTTTGTCATCTGTGATGTGAAAACAGATCATATATCCAAACAGTTATAAAAAGTAAAAGTGTGCCTCCTGCTCATAGTTCACTTATAAAATCCCAGTGCTCCACACAGAGTCTCTCCTGCTGGGCTGTTGACAGCACTGTCAGCTGTAGAGTCAATCGAAGTGGATGGCAGTAGAGGAGGTTGTGCCACAGTCTGGTTTAAAGGTGGTTTAGCCAACTTCAATGACAGCCAGCACCACAGCAGAGAGCGTCGGAGCAGCCGCTGCCCGGCGTCACACTGCCTTCCATTAACTTTGACTCTTTCCCGCTTCCATCAGTTATTTTTGGGGTTTGTGGTCATTTTCAGACTCGATTTAGGGTTGACAACCTGCCATTCTGTTGCTCTGTGTACAATGACGTAGCTAAAAAAACAATTCTACTCGGGGTCTTCTTGACTGATGATTCAAATCACTGAGTTTTCGGGGGCAGCCCTAGCATAAGTACAAAAATACTGAAAGTGAGTGATAGTTCATTAAATTCAGGATGTCATAACATTTTATTACAATGATTCTGCCAATCCAAAGTCAAGATTTTGGACACCAGCTTCATTAACATGTGCTTTGAGTGATACCTGGCAAGAGCCTACAAAGCACAATAAATTGATCCTCTATTGGAGAAACTTACTCATCATCTTTCGGGTCTGAAAGGCTAGAGAGCATCTGGAGGGTCAACGCCTCCTTTCTGAAAACGTGACATGAAGGGAAGGGGGGGATTTCAACATTGTTAAATATCTAACATTTTCTGGGCAATCAGTGGATCCTTGCAGCAGACATTTCCAATATTAAATAGGTTCTATTATATTCTCATACATGGCAATCGTGTCAAGAAAATCTCCACCTTTGTACAATCAAATAGTTTGTACTCTGGATTTGTGTTTTAAACAAAACTTTATAAAACTTTTTTAGTGCTGTTAAATTCAAGTACAAAAGCAAGAAGACAGAGTAGGGACCACTTTACCTTGTTCGACTGCGTGCTGCCTTGGAGTCCTTCTTTTCATCATCTGATTTGTCTGCAACAGATGAGTTTTCATCGTCCTCTTTGTCTTCTCTTTTGATGTCTGAGCTGCTGGAGGAGTGTGTGGAGCGGGCCATACCACCAGGGAGACCTAGGGACAAATGCATAAATGTGAAGATTATTTTCCCAAAGCACTGAAATCTCTCGGGGGGGGTGTGATACAATTCATGAATGTGGACAGCTAATAAAGTGAAGCAGAGATTACTGAATAATGTTCAAATACATATCACTGTAAACCAAATGTTTGAGCTCAATAACCAGATACTACACCATGATCCTACTAAGTACAACAAATGCCATTATGCAGTTTCACTGAACAATTGGCATGCTCGACTGTAAGTAACACAATATTTAGTTGGACTTACTGGTAAAGCCCTCCGGTTGGCCAACTGACGGTGTGGGTCCGGATGCGTGATGACCGTGCAGAAGAGTGCTGCTGGGAGGAAGGCCTGTGGGCTCCTCATGTTTCCCTTGCTGCTGATTAAGGTGCAGAAACATAATATGAATTTCACAAGGGCAGTCATATCACAACTACACCCCTACAAAACAGACTGTAAAAAGGTTCCATAAACAAAATGCCTCTGTCCAACTTGCAGACAAAGTGGCTACAGCTTGATGTCCACAACTGTATGAGAGCAAGTATTTACTTAATGATGTAGCTAATTTAAAATGTTGTACATGTTGTTTGCTAATATTATTGTCTAACTTATATTATTTAACTCATTAAAATGATGCTGTATAGTAGTAAACAAGTAGTAAATAGTATTCACGTTTAATTGCTTGCTGTTTTAGTCTTGGCCAGCAGATGGCAAAAATGTTTGGCATGCTTTGTTCCTCATGGAAACAAACAAAAGTAATGCAATTTTTAATTGTTTTTTCCTCAGATTTTCTTGCCAACTGGGACACGCAAATCATTTCTTTCTCAAAAAGGCAATTTGTTGTGCAACATATAAATACAATATAAAATCAAGGTAGTCAGCGTAAAGTTATCAAATACAGTCTCCATGAACAAAAGTGTATTATATATGTCACGGTTATTTTAAGCCATGTTACACACGACATATGGTTTGTATCTTTTAACCTCCATATTGACACAGTTTTTTCAACAATGGCTGATCAAATTAGTATGTACTTCCCCCAACACTCAATCTATACCACTATGAACGCGTGAAGAGTCCCTCGCAGAGAGGTTTTAGAAGTGTTGGTAGAGATTATGCACGTAATAAAATTAACCAAAAAGCACAGATGGACACTTGACTTCATGTTGTTGTCATACATGATTAAAAGTCCATGTCACACACACACACACACACACACACACACACACACACACACACACACACACACACACACACACACACACACACACACTAATTTCAGCAGAGTATGTGACTCACCATAGCAGGATGTCTGTTGCTGAGGGCAAGGCTAGCATTGGGGAAAGCTGGAGAGAGGCCCCCAAGGCCCCCATTGTGTACTGAGGACAGCAGGCTGTGCATGTCGGAGTGGGCGCCCTCTAAGCCAGGACCCTGGCCCACAGCATGGCTACGCAGTACATGGATGGCCTCCTCCAAACGGTCCTCCATTTTACTCTGCTACATGAATACAAGAGGCGTGTATTTATATCTCAATATGACAAACAAAATACAAGTCCAAGAAACAGCTCATAATTACAAACAATTTAATGTTTTAAAAAAAGTCTACTTAACTGTCCACTTAATTCAAATAAGCACATAAAGGCTTGAAGAAGATAATATGTCAACTGCTTCAAATTAGCTTTGATGTAGCACAGAAATGTTTTAACATACCAGTGTGTGTGGTTGCCCTTCATAGTTGGGTGTGGTTGGTCTTTGCCACTGAGACTGAGCTCCTGCAGAGAGAAATATTGGGACAGTGTATAGCGGTAATTCATAACTTTACAGCAGATGGAGCTGTAGACACATTTCTGTGCTAAAGAACATTAAACATGCAGAGGATCATTTTTGCTCCAACAATTTCAACTGATTCATTTTTGTGTGCCAAAAACAAGGTTGCAATCAAACTGAACAAGTTAAATAAATTGGTCTGATGTAGGTATTCTGTGGCTGAAATTGAAATATTATCCAAATTTGTGGTTGCATGAGTGAGAATAAAGAAAAGGATAAAACCACCTGAACTCAGTTTACCAACCTTCTGATTGGCAAAATTTACTCAGCTGTTCAGTTGAAATTAATCTTACATCAAAGCAAGGTAGAATATAATTGATCAGAGGAAAATAAAGACAAGTCTTTTAAAGAATAAATAATGTGTTTATGAAAATGCAGATTGCTTCATATTAGTGTTTAAGATGACTTTAATGCCCTTTACTGCCTTTAACTGCCTCTACATAGCATTCAGATTTTTTTATATGCAAGTAGTGACAATTTGATGCTCATATTAGCTGTATGTGAGAATTGAACTGTACCTGCAATAGCCTGAGGAGATCCAGGAGTAGATGGAGCTGAGGGGAAGTTATTACTGTTGTGGTCCGACGGGTAAATCTGAAAGAATTGATGAAAACATCCCAACGTCACGGCACACGTGAAGAATACACAACATAGATTGTAATTTAGTTAAACAGTATGGTTCAAAGTAGTGCTGGGCAATACGGAAGACAAAGTCACCACAATAAAAAAATTACTGAATTGTTTGTTTTAAACTGCACAAACATTTTCTCAGTATACAACAATGATCAGGTCTGCAAATTTCTTCAGCATTTTTTTACAACAGACATTCATCTGTTTTGGATCATGCCACGAACAAACAACATAATGCTAAACCACTGACAGAACATTTTTGTCAGCGTTTGTATTTATTTGTCCTTTCTTCACACGAATCCTCCAACATAAAAGATTTTCATTTTGTCAGAGGAAATAAAACTCTCGGGAAAATTATCGTAATTGTTTTATTGCCCAGCTCTAATTTAAAAAACCAACAAGAAACAGAAAAGAACTCACTGAGGCAAGAGCCTTCCCAATTTCATCCCCTGAACTGCCAGCTGTGGTGCCTCGGTTGGCTGCAGAGACAAAATAAATAATGTGAGTCAGATGACCTGTTAATTTGCTTTTGGGAGAGAGAAAAAAAAAAAATCAAATGACCATGGGAGTTGAATCCGACAGGCGCTACCAAGACTCTTGTGTGATAAGTTCATTTAAAAAAGTTTATTACCCATGATGCCTTCTCCGTTGATGGTGGGTGTGTGGTTGTAGGTGGTAGGGGCTGAGTGGAAGCCGTTGACTTCGCTGCCATGCAGAGGATAGTTCTGTGGGGACAGAGGCAGGGGTTGACGCTTCTGGAGAAGGGAGGCACAAGTAGCTCCGTAAGGCACAAACACCCCTCACAGAAAAATAAACCAATGTGACAAATGCATTTAGCCTTTCAACCTTATGTAATGTTAAACTTAATTCAAGAATCTAAGATGATATGTGGGTAGTTGACTACATAAATTTCCTTACAAGCAACATTATAAAATATGAACCATAAAAGAGAAAAAGAAAAAAACATGGAACAGAGATGACTAGAACGGGATTGAGGCCGTTTCTACCCACCATCCTGTCCTGTGGGTTAATTGCAGAGAAGGAGCCTGGCTGTCCAATGTGAGGTGAGTTACCCAGCATGGCAGAGTAGCCAGAAGACGACCAGGGGTCTTCTGAGAAAAGCAGAGACACATTTGCAAATATGAAAATACCTTTACAAATAGGATTGCAGAGCAAATTCATTTCAGTGATATTATAACAGGGTTTGTAGAGCTTTTTAAGACTAAAATTCAAACACGTTTCAAAGAACCTAAACTACAAATGTCCAGATTTCTCAAAGCCTTTATCACCACAGCTTAATTGTTACTATAAAAGCAACTATGAAAAAATAAGTTTACAGAATTCCTTTATACCAACAACAATCAATTTATATTGTCACTTTGTTTATTTTACCAGTTGTTCATATTAACTTTAATTGTATGTTTTGATCATGATTATTTAATGCTTGCTAACACTAAAGGTTTAACAGAGGACTTATCTAGCTATGAATAATGAAATATGACAACATGATTGTTTCATTTCAAATATGAAAAGCTTTTTGAGTGATCGTGTAGATGAAAAAACAGATTATGGTGAAAATGACAATATCTTCAAATCCAATAATATTCCTAGCCTGGGCGAGCTAACAGCGGTTAAAATTAAGCATTGTCCAAACTTTTAAGACTTTGTACGAACCCTGTGAAATGGTATCCTACCTTGCATATAGAAAGAGCCAGGGTAGACAGCTCCAGGCTTAGCACCGGGATATCCTCCATTGTCTCTGGAATACTCATCACCAGATGTGGAAGCATACACCTAAACAAACATGCAGACAATTAGTAGTTTGTTTGTGATTTCTTAACTGTGAACTTAAAATACGCACATTTTAGGATGCTGTATTTAAAAATTAAAAAAAAGTGTTTATGTAGCCCTGAGCATCATAACAGAAAGTAGTACGGTAAATATCCACCCGATCCTTGCTTTTGAAAACCATTTAATTACACTAGCTTCAAGTGGCCACAAGATGGCAAGAGGGAGTCTGCCGGCTGTGGAGGCAGGCAGGCCGGCTCCTCGCCTGTGGAGGAGAACACAGCGGCCATGCCATGCTGGGCACAGCGACGGCTTGAATCCCAGTGCACAGTGAGCACTTCCTCTAGCTCCCAGGACCCCAGTGACATCGCACTGCCTGGCCTGCAGCCCCTCCCTATAACACACTCACTATCCACTCGCACACATACCATGCATTCAGTGAGCCAACACACACACACACACACACACACACACACACACACACACACACACACACACACACACACACACGAACACTCCACTAGCAATACCCTCAACCTATCACATTTTGCATGGCATCAACAGAGGATTGAATTCAAGAAAACATGAATATGGACAGCTCTGATGAAATTCAACGTTTTAAATTAGCACCATAAAGATTCCAATCACAGATCCCTTAAACATATTGCTAACAAAAATGGATGCCGGGCCTTCAGTGACACACATCTCTGCTCCAAAGCCAGAGACTGAAGACGGACATGAGAAGCCCTCAGTTTCCCCGACACCATCAGCCACCACTCAGTCCGTCTTTTCCTCTCCTCTGTAGTACATGGCAGATACAGGAAGAGAGAAAGAGAATGGAGGCTATGCTGCAAAGAATGCTAATCCAGAGAAGGGATTTTTTCTGTAATTTGATTTAACAGGGAGAAGTGGAAAGGGAATGGAGAGATGCACTTCTAATTACAGAGCCATCTGCCTGTTCCTGGACCACATCCAACTCCACAGGCAGCTGGGCTGAGGAGAGGGAGTGAAGAGAGGGAGAGAGATGGGGGCTGGGATCCAGTCAGCGAGAGAGAGAGAGAGAGAGAGAGAGAGAGAGAGAGAGAGAGAGAGAGAGAGAGAGAGAGAGAGAGAGAGAGAGAGAGAGAGAGAGAGAGAGAGAGAGAGGAAGAGAGATTGCAGTGGGTAGGGGGTGGTAAAGGGGCAAGGGGGAGGATTGAGGGGAAAAAATGAAGGCCCTGATGATTTATGAAATGGGTAGAGAGATAAGGGGTGTGGAGGGGGGACAGGAGAAGGTAATCTAAATGACTTAAACAAAGCTTGATATGGCCAGGGGAGTGTGAAGGAAACAGGGGATTTAAAATGATCACGGTTAATTCAGGGGAAAACATGACGGAGATGGCTTCATTTAACAATAGGCTTTGAGTTGTTCTTTCACGGGGAACAATGTCGAGTGAATCCTGCTGCTCTAGATGGGAACAGAGAACTACACAATGACTGGTGCTGCTGGATAATTGTATTCTCAGGAAGAAAGGGGATTTCTAGGGTAAAATCCTCAACTAATAGGGGTTTAATGTAATTCAGGTTATGACCGTGTAAAGGTCTCTTTACTAGAAAAAACATGGGTTGTAGCAAGGGGTGGGGAGTAGATGAAGATTAACATCAAACTAACCTCAAACCGCTTTATTCAACCATGAGGGGTTTGTGATTAGTCTACTGGACAACTAGGGGGCAGAAAAGAAGTTCCTCCGTGTTGTTTGATTGTTGCAGGTGAGGGTTCAAGGGGTTAGGGCAAGGATCTCATGTACAGGTATTGGTGGGTTACAGAAGTCAGGGAGCCTGAGGGGTAATGAGAAATGGCCTTTACGCTGCAGCTATTATTTGTCGATTTACAGCAAAATGATTTAAGCAACAAAAAGTAGATAAAGGGGATGATAAAAGTGTACATTGAAGGGGTGGTGAAGAGAAGCAGGAAGGGAGGGTGTTTGGGATGGAGGAAAGACCACAGGATCATCATCGGCAGTCATTAATCTGGGCTCAGACACGGGGCTAAGAGGCCTCGCAAGCACCGCGCCTCACAACTGGGTCACTCACAGGGGGAGGCCCACCCAGGCCATCATGTGGTGAAGCGTAGGCGGAGGGCTGGGTGAGGTGGGGGAGGGGGGTTCACACACACACACACACACACACACAGACATCCCATCATTCGCATTAAAACCACGCAGCCATCGTTCACACTGCGGGGAATGACTGAGGTTCAGACAGTGAAGAAGAAGGGGCCTCAGCCAGACAGAGCGTTCACACTCAATCTCTGATGTAGTCACCATGGTGAAGCGTGTCTACACGCAGAGGTTTCATTAACCACACGTCAACACCCACAGGTGGGGGACAGCACCTATGCCATCTTAAAAAATATGATTTCTTTAAACAACAAGGGATCAGGAAAAGAGCTAAGCAGCAAGTTCCCCAGATCCCTCTCCATACTGACTATTAGTTGATCTGATATGAACCCACCTAATCAAAGCATCTGGCTACAGTAGTTGCATCTGTTGCAACTTTATGTCAAAATAAGATACAGACAGAACTCAACACTACTAACGCTTGACTCAATATCCTGCCAGATTACGTATCCATGGCTTCGTGATTTGGACCAAGTGAGCCATATAAATCCTTTGAATTTACTTAATCCATGTGTTATCAGCACAGTTTTGAGTCAATTTACATTCAACTTTTATGATCAAAATTGACTAAGATTATGAAATGATGAGGCAAAGACTGGGCTAATGTGCAGGTATTTGATCCATGAAGATCATGAAACCTTACATTTTCTTTAACTTCACATAAAATATAACATAATAACCCACAAGGCCACCCGATATTTTAATCTTTCTATCCTCTGCCTATGCTGCTGATGTACTGCTTCAAAGCGCCATGTTAAAACACAGATGTCATAAGTGAGGAGATGCAAAGGTTCCATACCCAGTTCTTTTAGGTCACTCTTGTCATCTGAGAACTACAGTAGCGTGACGACTGGGTTACAGAAAATATTTGTGTAACGGCAGTATTTCATATTGATGATCCAGTGGCAGCTCAAACAGCAAGACTGGGCTCTAATAGCAACAGCGACACACAGTCAACTACCCTGTGGGATCCTTCTGACTGAAATATCATGTTTGCTATCCCACAAAGTCTGTTGGTTCAGAACCATGAAGACCTTTCACATATCTGCAGAGGAAAATACTAATGGAGCAGAAAGAGTTAGTGTTGTATTAAAAATGCTATGTGGTATTCAAATTGAGCAAATGGCCTCTGAATCATCTATGATCTACAGTAACTGTCACTGTATGGAAGGACTGGCTGGTAATCAACACACAGGACTCAAATTTAGCCAATGGAAATAATCTATAAATGGGAATGATGTGGGCAACTGCAGCCTAATTCAATTCCTTGTCAAGTCACTTTAAACTAACAGTGAGATTCATTCAGTATATATTCACACATGTAACAGTGACTTGTGTTTCCAGCTATGTGTGGTTGCCATCATCCACACACATCAGCTGCATCAGCTGCTGGGAATTCTGGGCCCACTGACAAAATGTGACACTTGGTACAGTAAATCAAAGCACTATATGAGCCTTCATACTGCTTGGACTCTGTTGAATCCAGTATCAAATCTGCTTGACACATTGAAATCCAACTAACCTTTTAACAATTTTAAAGGAACACAAGTTACAAATAACTTAATATTCTGGAACTAAAACTCCAAGACTGATATTCTAAGAAGTGAAACTTTGGCCAGACAGATTAGATATTTGCTATTTAGCCAAACAATTTCCTGGATGGGTTCTACACTGTCCTTTGCTCATGAAGAAAGGGAGAAGAAATAACGGATTCAATAAGAGATCAGTAAAACTCTGGGTTTGACAAATCCAGGTATCTTATTACCAACTTTGAACTGGATCCAAAGCTGAACCAGCAACCAGAAACCAACTTATTTGGACCCCTCATGCACTGGATGCCTGACATGTACCTTCATTACCCAAATCCAGGACCCCAAGTTCTTATATAACGTATAATTCAAATCGAGCCACTGAAGAAGGTAAGTTACTAGACTTGACAAAGTACCTCAAAATCCTATAAAATTGCTCGTCTACATGACAACCAGACCCTGAACACCACTTGAAACCACTTGAGTGTAGTGTAGAGACAACCACAGTGATGATGTTTATTGGGGCCTGAGTTGCCTGACTGTCAGCTCACTGAGAGTCTAACTGAGCAGAGGGCCTTTACCCCTGTCTGTCACAGAATTGCTCAAGCAGAGTGGGGAAAAGCAACGTGTAAGTGTATCTGCTTGTGTGTCTATGTGTAGCAAGTGTGTGTATTGAGGGAGAGAGAGAGAAAGGACTGGCTGTGAGCTGTGAAGACAGGCAGAAATAAGCTCTCACCGAGGACGGCAGGCCAGGGGGTTTCCGAATCTTCTTTGGCTGGGTGTCTACATACAGGCAGGCGGAGACACCGAGAAAAGGTGAGAGACAAAAACACAAATAAGGACTTAGCAAAGACACATTTGCCAATGTTATGTCAGTTCAGGTGCAGTTCCTTCATGTGCTCTAATTCCAACTGCATAACAGAAAACACTGAACACGCTGCAGCATGTGTGTGCTAGTGTGTATGTGCATGTCTGTCAGTGTGAATGAATGTTGCTGTGCATTCATCTGTATAGACTGAAAAGATTTAATGTAGACAAAAAACAAAACAAACAAAAACAAGCACTTTTGGTCTAGTTAGCTCCATTGAAAGTACAGTTGAACTGTAACAATTAGTCTATTGATCGCCAACTATTTTAATCATGAAATAATCATTCAAGACAATTCTAGAGCAAAAACTCCCAGCCTGTCAAATGTCTATATTTTCTGGTTAACTTAGCCATCAAAATGAATATCTTTGTATTTTGGATGACTGAACAAACTAAAGAAGCAATATAAACAATTCCACTTTGAGCTCTGGGAAATGCTGTCTATTTTCTGGCATATTATAGACCAAAGAATTAAATCAAGAAAATAATCTGCAGGTGAATTGAAAATCAAAAATATCATTAGTTACAACCCGAGTCAAATCAAAATGAAAAAAAGACAAAAAAATACACAAAGACAGGAGGGGAAACGGTGGAAAATGAAGAAAGAAAAACAGAAAGAAATGACTGGTCTTTTCCAGTTATCTAACCTATGCCTCCATCAGGCGGCCTTCTCCTGGGGTTGTTGGGGTATGACGGGTAAAACTGGGAGCCGGATTTCAGGCCGGAGGGGGACATGGCATCTGGGCTGGGCATCGCTATGTCGCTAGGAAGAAAACCAGGCTAGGAGAACAGAAGATGCAGAAACAAGGTTTTACTAATAATACTTTCAGGGGTGTGAGAGAGTACAGATTCTTTTCTAGGAAATGAAGACAGTTCATTCAAAGTATTTAACATGAAAAGAGAAGTGAGAAAGCTGCACTAGTTCTCACAAACACATAACAGGAAGATGCAAGGAATGAGCTAAATGGTAACATACCTGGCTTCCAAACGGAGGGTACGGTGGCCTCTCATTTTTACCTGCAAGATAAAAGTGAAGATTTACATTAATGTGAGCAAAACCATGAGATGTATAAACACATTAAGAGGCAATGGTGTGTGCCAAAACAAATGAAAAGTAGGTTTTCTAAAGTACAAAAAGTCCAGAGATGCCCTCCCCTTTTTCAGTACGCTCAGCTGCATAAAGCCGCCTGCCAGACAAAACCCTAGGGAAGGTTTCTGCTTCAGTGCCCTAACATCCCCAACACTCAACGAATGAACACAGGCACACACACATGCACATACATGCATGTAGACACATACACATTTTGCCACCCAGAAAACAATTGGTCATAAAGTATGCACAACAGTCCAATCGGCCATTATCAACATGATAATTATAAAACGCAAGTGCAACATGGCAACATTTCCTCTGGCAGTGAGAGGTAAATTTATACACTCAGTCCATTAAAGTGATAAAAAAAAATATCATAAGCCATAGTTTTACCATATAGCTATCAATTATTTTAAAATATTTAAGGAAAACAGAACATACCTGCGACTCCTGAACTGATGAAAGGAGAGGACAACCCTTCATGCTCACTGTAGTGGGAGCCTTCGGGATAGCCCTGTAGGAACAATGGTACACCCAAAACAACATGAAAAAAGCTAGCAAAGAAATATGTAAATAAAAAAATGCAGGCTCTCACATTGCACAAAGATACGGAACACACCCACAGACCTAAATGATAACCACTCTTTAAGGCCTTCCCCATCTTGTTAGCACACCTATATGGCTTAGTGGTTACCCTCCCTCTACTTTTCTGTCTAACTAACAGGATCCATGCCAAACAAATCTGCATCAGCTCGGGGGATTCAAACCGACTTTCTTAATTATCAACTTGTGGTAATCAAAGCCTGCTGCATCTATTTCACCCCCTGTTCCTTGTATTTACACAGAGTTGTGCCAAGACAGTTACAGCGGATGTGAAGCTGCAATTACCGGTGGGCTTCCATAGAGGTTCTGGGCTACCAGAGAGCTTGCCAATGCAGGATTCTGAGCCAAGGTTATTAGGTAGAAAGTAAAACTACCACTTCAAATCAAACATGGCACACGGCATGAAAAAGCACTAAGCTGTTGTGGTGGTAGGGGGAGAAGGGTTGTGTGTGTTCGTCTATGGCAGAGTGATTAACTGAACATGTGTGAGTGTGTGACAATATAATGGCATCTGGTGTTAATGCTTAGATCTCCAAACTTAAAATCGTGTGCGACTTAAGAGTGCGAGTGTGCGTGTATTTAGATCTTACCCGTCCTTGGCTGAAAGAGGGACTGTTCTGTTCTGCTGGAGCCCAAGACCCAGAGCCGCTGCGCTCGTCTATTGCTGTTAAAAAAAAAAAAAAAAAAAAACACATTCTTGATTATTTACAGGTAGGGAAACCAGCATGTTAATCTGAAGTAGAGATGAAAGAAGCAAAAAGCAGGCTGGTCTAATGCTGTGAAGAATATTAGCAATCTCCATATGATAGTATATAATTATCATTGTATGTGTCACTGCAGATATGTAGAAATGCCCTGATGTTGGCAGTCATATCAACAGAACCTGTCACCATGTCCTACTCTAAACATACAATGTCCTTAAGTGGCCACAATGGGCTTGCACAAGCCAGGAGAGAGCATCACTATTGATCAAAGACGGCGCTGTCGCATTCAAGATGCAATGCAATGTTAGACCGTATCTGGAAAAATCATAGGAAATGCTGCTCAGTGTACCCATTAGTGTTTATTACGGTCACTGAATAGCAGAAAATTAACCATTCACATCCCTAATGTAATCCAAGAAGATGAAATGTCATCTAAACCATATTTAAATTCCACTCAATGTGACACATACAAACACATAAAATAACGCAAAACAAAATACAAAAATACATAAAGCCAAACCATGAACCACAATGTTTTAGGTAAAGAAAGAACCGATGTGTGGCACAAAGGAAAAACACAGCCAAAAGACTGGTGGAGCAGAAAACTCCAAAATACCCCCATCATCCCCTTCTCCCTGTCTTATGCACTAATGCTATCCAGGCTCTCTGGAGACACAAGCCTTAATTGCATGCTGATTTGCATAATTGTGCATATTAATGCGGTTTCCTTATGAATATTCATATTTCGGCTTTGATTTTTGCCTAATTAAAAAAATGTGTGTGAGAAAGCAAAAGAGAGAGTGAGCGGGTGGAAGGAGAAAGCAAGGGGACGAGGAGCGGGAGAGAGAGGGAGGAACAAGAGGGAAGGCAGAGTGAGAGGGGTCTGGGCGAGATCAGCAGCCTGGCTGACGAGTGAGAATGAGTGATGAGACTAACAGAGCGGTGCAAGCACCTACACACGCTGCGACAGCCGTGATCTATGGAGCTGATGCCAGTGGCATGGAGAATCAGGCAAGCAGGGAAGAGAGGGGACCTCAAAAGATCAGCCTCCCTCACTGTCAGATCGGCCCTGCTGAAAGGCCACAGCGCTAATAAACCGCTGCACCACCGTCAACCATGTCCAATGGTACAGGACACTGGTGACGGGCTTGCTGCTAAATAAAGATGACAGACTTTGTATGAAGACACCTCAGCCAAAGCTGGGTGCCAGGAAAAGTAATATCAAATTAGCAAGATAAAAAGCCACTTCAGATGAGAGACATCAACAATGAGTTTGACTACTTCCAGTCTAGCAACGAAGACATGTTTTAACTCAAACACCTTTCTTGTTCCCACTTCAAGACACCCTGGCTTCATGCAAATTGTTGATAGACCACAAAGTATTTTCACATGTATTACATACTTAAAACTTCTAACAGGTAACCCACAAAATTACACATCATCACTGTCAACAATAACCGGCACCGAGTAGACCTACCAAGCCAACAAGCGAGTTAAGGGAGTAACTTCATAATCTTCAGTTATTTTCAATACACCACTCATCAGCCTATGAAGCCTCCATTTGGCCAGCGGGGGTGCAGAGGATAGAGTGAAAGCACGGCTGTGCAGGAGAAGTCTGACAACATTGTTTCACACTTACTGGAGTAATTAACTCAGAGGCAATTAAAACAAGGTGGAGAGCTGCTGAGGTGACACTGACGCTCAGCCAGCCTAGGAGAGCCCAACTATGCCAGAAGAGAGATCTTTCTGTTGTTGTTAATCTCTTGTCATGTGCAATATTGAGAGACAACCAAAATGATAAAATGATGCAAAATACAGTTCTTAAAATGACCCAACAAGCTTCACATCCTGTTAACAAAAAAATTATAATATTTATTTACATCCCCATGTTCTTGTACAAGCAAGTAAGCTAGTTTTGAAGTGTAATTGTAAAAAAAAAAAAAAAAAAAAATAGATAAGTACCACTGAAAGTAGGTCAGCGATGTACTCCTACATCAATTATTTTGGCCAGTAAAAATATTTTTAGTACTTTGTTTTAAACCAGCCCTTTGCCTGTGACCTAAAAAATGGCTCTGAACACTTTAAGTGTCTCCATTCTCAATGAAATTTAAAAGGACAAACACAGATCTCTCCAATCCAGGCTTTATTTCATCCTCAATTCATCACTTATTTAGTAGTGCAGCTGTCCAACACATACTGGAAAAAATAACAAAAATACTCAATAGCTCTCACAATGCAGTTCTCGGATACTGTAGATGCCTTATAAGTAGCTGCAACTGATTATCATGACATACATAAGTCCATGTGATGCTAACACACCTCCTTATGCGCTTTGACAGTTTACAGATTTCTGCGTTTACATCATATTGGTAGAAGCAGAAAAGAAGCTTTCAATGGAATAATCTTTCTTTAATCATGAATGGCAATGTAAATAGGGTATTGTATCGCATTAGTATTAAAATACAATGAACTCTATCAGTCTAGATGCTTAGCTAGATACCTTGGATTACAAATATTGGTGGATGTGTTACAATGTTTAATTCAAATGGCAATCACCACTAAATGCTTAATGTCAGTGTGCTCTCTCTGACTATGCAGTTCATACTTGCAGAAAATCCAAGATTATTAGAAGACGGCATTTGAGTACTGGAGCACTGTAGCTCATGCTGACTAACAAATCTAATACCAAAATCTATTCAATTAAACAATAAAGCAAGGGGAAGTAAGTGATAAACATTTGAACAATCAATTGACACAAGGACCCAACTGGGAAAACAAAATTATGATTGAAAATACCCTGAATTATCTACTAATTAAAAACGCACATAAGAAATGTAAAAGACATGGCGTTGGCAAGAAAACAACAGGTTCTCTGGACGTATATCACATCCATCCAGATTTTGGCACGGCTAGTGTGAATGTACTTCCAGTGAAAGTCACATGGCAAGACAAATACTGACTCACAACCAGAACCCAGGAAAATATTTATTTTCTGAGCCACAAAGCCTTCTCACGGCTGCAGGCTCTGAAAACATCTAATTTATTTGAAGAAGGAAGCCATTCTCCTTTGAGATTTCCTCTTTCTGTGGGCTTAGATTTTCCAACTACAGCCCACCGATGCATAGTGAAATACATGACACAATACTGCAGGCGCGTGCAGGTATACAACTGAGTGCAAAAGTCAAACACATAGCTAGTAAGAGAGACCACATGTGTAAATTCACAATGTTGTTCGTTGTGATCTAAGGGAAGCGAGCCTGTCGCGTCCCATGTTTTTGTGTGTGTGTGTGTGTGTGTGTGTGGCTGGAGACGTTGCCAGCAGCTGCAGAGGTGACAGAGGGGACGCCTGCCTGAAGGCTTGTGGGCTTGGCCAGCTCCCTCCACACACCGTCACACTCTGCCTCCCCTACTTCTCAAACATCCCACACTTCTTGCCAATCCTCTCCTCTTTCCTCTCCCCTCCACTCCACCCGACACACCCTTCCCCACACACACACGCACTCTGGCCACTGAGGAAGGGAGAAGGACGCCTAATGCAATTAGCACCCCTCTGAGCACTTTTGTGTTGATGAATAGAGGTGGTCTGGTGGGCCACTAGGCTGCTCGCTGCCGTTCCCGCGCTGCTGGGTCCCTGAATATACAAGCCGCCTAAGTGACGTCATAGATGGCCATTGCTCTTTAATGGTCATCATTTCTCTAATAAATAGGTTTCCTGGCCCATAGCCTTATCATATTTTGGAATAATAACCAATCTTTTAGACCGAGTTTCAAAAGATGGTCCTATTGCCAAATGCAGCCATTACATCTTAAAAAATACACCAAAAAAATAACAACAACAACAAAAATAAATCTCTTCCTCTGACATATGTCTGTCTATATGGGTTTTGTTCCTCATACAGACAGACTGCAGTCTCTGTACTAGGTATGTTTTAACATGACACAGATCTACAAGAAACTCCTGGGCTGGAATTTGCAGATGTTAGCATTTTGACTCCCAAGTGCTATTAGAGGGTACCTGCAGATCTCCACAAGTTAAATGGGACAGCTTGAAGTATTGCATTAAAATGGGTGTCAATGACCGAAGGCCACACTTTAGGACATGAGGAGGGGGGAAGGAATTAACTCCTCACTGCTTAGTAATTGCCTGCTGTAATAGAAACAAACAGAATCCTGCCTTCCACAGGCTGATCCCTCTATTCAACAAGCTCCCTCTTCCACTCTGGCCACTCACTGCATGCTGGGCCAGTTTAAGAGGCTGCGAGCTGGGGGTGAGGGACATTGTCTCGGACTCAAGCCATTTCCTGCAGATCAGTGGGGGTAAAAGCCCTGTGCCGTGTTGGGGGAGGAGTGTTTTACACTTCAGGGTGGGGGAGTCGTTTCAAGTCCATAAGCCCCTTTTTTGCCTTTGTTCCTCAGTGTCCAAGTTCTCACTCTGGGGAACACTAGGGAGTGTGACTCGATTTCACACGCCAGGTTGGCAGGGTGACAGAGGAACGAAAGTAACACGACTTACTAATAACATTCAGGAAGAGAGTGAAGCTCACTCAGAGGCTTCAGGTGCTTGACAGGTTAACTGCAGCTACTTTGCACTTTAAAATAGTTAAACAAAGACAGATGTCAAAATAAAACTCATCTTGACTTATTAATAAATCTGCACCAATTAAATTCTTCATTGGTAAGATTAAAGATCCGGTCAGTTTCTCAAAGAAGTGTCATTTAAGACAGTTGAAGTTGTAGTCCAAATGTATCATTTTTCTATACAGATAAGAACCATTGGACAACCATATAAACAGGCATAGAGCTAGCTGTAGTGCATCACTAACTGAGAATTTCTTCTAAAATCACATATACTACTACTAATACATTACAAACAGTAGAATAAACACATAGAAACCAATTAAATCTATGTGGCTGTTTTAGCTTTTTCAAATACAATATTGTAAAGCTTTGAACACCACAAATGAAATTCACCTCTATTGTACTTGCTGAGGTGGTAACAGATCTCAAAACCTCGGCAAATAAAACTGAAACTGTCTGCAAGCTAGATACCACAAGGCTTACGTGGAAAAATACTTTTTTTTGTGCTTTGGGTGAGGTGACTTTTGAAGTTGTTGCTCTCCACTATCAGTTGGAAACTGACATTTAGATTTGTATTCAATTAAGCATCTAAAGTGGCTGCTAACAGACATAGATTTAACATTATATGATGATTATTATTACTTTGCCAAAACTTGCATGTTGCCACTACAATGTCTGTTAAAATCTTACTGGGGAAAAATTATATTTACACCAACAAAATGAGGCAAGAATAAAAACCAACATTTGAAAAGACATACAGCATACAGTACATACAAAGCAGTAACAGTGCTTTGAAATTCAGTGTAGGTCTCCATAACAAGCTAAAAGGCTTACCTGATCCACCAAACTGACTGCTGGCGAGTGTCATTGTCCTGTTCTTCCCGTTGGCTACTGGAGGCGCAAACATCTACAAGACAAAAGAGGACAGATACCGTAACTAACAAAGCAAAGGACGGCACACTTCACACATCCTATTTCCACTTATAAAGGACATCGCATACACATGCCGTTCAGTTGCTGTGTGTTTTTTGCCTTACAGGCATTGCTGTTTTGAATCAGACTTAAGTGAGTTATAAAGTATTTAAAAACACACGATTCCACCACTGATTAATTGACTCACAGCAGGAAAAACATGCTGGTAAAAATGGTCAAGTTATAAAGATTGTTGAGGTCTATATTTACAAAATGCCACAAATAAATAATATCTCAATTTTATATAAAAAATAAAAGAGTTTTGTTTTCCCCAAAACAAAATGTTACAACATATTTTCATAAAGAAACTTGAGTTTAACTTTCGAAACACCCTGATGAGGCCGTGGGTTTTATCACAAGCCACTGTGGGCTTTACCATAAGGCTATGGTGTGGTCTAAATATCTATGTGGCATCAATGACATGGCCAAACTCTACTGTACAAACCAAACCTTTTTGTAACTAGGACACCATAACACAATCTGCCACTACCACGTATGATCTCCATCTCGCTTTGTTGAACAGGGTAGGTCTACGCAGTCCAACAACCGATCGTCTTTGTTTCTGTTACATTTGGTCGCGGATATCTGAAACATTTTTAGTTTTGCTTTATTCCACGTCCAGTCTAGCATGAATTTCTTTGACTAGCCAGCAAATAAACAAAGAGGAGGAAATTTGTTTGTGCATTGTTCGACAGTTTCTCACCCAATTATCAATGTCATATTTAGACGGAACATCTGCTGATACAAATTGGCAGCTGATCAATCTTGAGTTTTTCTAACACAAACCCAACTGTCTAATGAGAACCTCCCACAAACCCCCTTCACAACAAGGAGCGTTTTCCTTTCATGGTGTAAGGTTTCCTTTAAATACCGATGGCGTGGTAGAGAATAGGACTACATTAACAAAGCAGCTGACTGAATTGCAAGTCATTATAATGGAGCTCCATCAACAATGTTCATGCACAACAATGCTTAAAAAAAAATAATAATAAAAAAAAAGAAGAAATCACTAAAAAAAATGAAGCTAGTCCTGTTGTTCCCCAGTGTTACACATCATAAAATGTCAACGACTCTTGCAATGATATAAACAGCTCAGTATTAATCAACTGTACTTTGTCAAAAGAAATCTCACGGGACATTAAGTCTGCTGACAAATATTCATTAGGAGTCACAGTTTGGAATTACCTGTTGTGCCCCATATATAATAATTATCCAGGGCTGGCAATTTAGCCTTACCAGCTATTCAATTTATTTAGGAGAAAGAACTAACACAGCTCCATTGGGCCTATGAGATGTTTATGTCAGCGTAAAGCTCAACAAAGGCTTCACAACAAAATGAAACACAGGTAAATAAAAGCTGAACAGAATACCTCTATCCGCTTTGTAGATAATGTCTGGAGGATACTTCTGAAAGCATCTTTGTAAAAATGTCTTCCTAAAAGACTAAAAATATGACAAAAAGAAATGCAGATGCCGTCTGCGCAACCCAGTTTGTATATAACAATATTTCCCCCCGCAGATTCTGTTAACAAGACGAACAGGGGTGAAATTATTTCCGCAGTTGTTCCTGATTCACTATTTACATTTTACAGTGGATACTAGTTCGTTGTAGTAAGGATCCACTTCCTTGTTGCTGTGTCTCTGCATCACCTACATAATTGAATAACCTATATTTAAAAACCTGAATTCATTTTCACCAGTCACCCTGAGGTATAGCAGTATTTTTCTTTGATGTAATCAGCACTACCTTTGCATGCCAAGAATGAAGGATGGAAATATCTTGGGCTGACACGACCTATTGTTTGGAAAAAAAAAAAGAAAAAAAAAAAAAAGTTCAAAAATTTTTGTTGCAGATTTTCTTTCCTCATCCCTCTCCCCACTTCTCTCATTCAGACCTCCAGCTCTCCTCTGCCCATACCCAGACCTGTATCGCACTCTCTTTTAGCTCTTCCTCCCAATGCCACCCAGAACCACCCAGACTGCTCTCCCACTCTCTTACCGCACTGAAATCCAGGAGGTCGCTGAGTTCCTTGTCAGTTCCCACTGCAGCCATTCTTTGCTGCTGTTCGTTCATACCCTTCAGTCTCTAATAAACCCTATGAGAGAAATTTGCAGATACAGGATTTTAATGGCACTAGCAAGCACAAAGAGAAGTTACATGTAGCTCTTAAAAAAAAGGAGAATGATGGTAATGAATGATTCGAACTACTCTACCTTTGCTATGTCACAACCCTAGAGATGATTCTTATTGGCAAGTTGTTAGTCTCCCATAAGATACCAATGCAGGGCTATGTCAGCATTTTTCTTTAAAAAACAAAAACAAAACAAAAGAAAAATCCCAACAACTTTCTTATTGCCAACACCCTCAAATTTGTGTTTGTAGCTTTCAATACAATGTTAAAATCTAGTTAATCTGAGAAGTTACAATATGAAAATCAATTATCATCTATGGAGTCTCAGCTGGCCAAAACATACAGCTCAAATTACTACCTCACTGAAATACAGAGCGATGAGGGAAAAACAGACAACATTAAGCTACTTAACACTAAACACTCTAGCCGGGTCTACTTAAAAATGCTAATTTCAGACAGACCCTGCCTTCCCATCCAAATAGCAGAGACACTGCCATGAAATGACGAATACTCTGCCCTTAGTCAAATTACTACCAAGTAATGACTTAAAAATTGTCTTTCATTTTACGCAACCCTGGCAAATAACACAACCATATGTCGATCATTGCTACATAAAAGAGAATGTAATACATTTACAATTACAGACATAATTGGGACTATTGTTAGCCCAAGGAAATAGGGGTGAAAGGCAGAGCTAATGACTGTATGCAAACACGTCATTACCAAATTACCATATGTCAACTCAGACAGAACCTTGTCAAATGACACAGTGAGCATGAATACTGGATTTACCCTGTGTTTTGCATTCCAACGCAAGCCCGAGGCCGCTCTCTGATGCTGAGCAGTGGTTCTGCGAGCCTCACAGGGAACTAGTGGTAAGGGGAGCGAGTGGAGGAATAGAGGCACTTGGACACCAACAGGTGGTGTGCTTTTACAGCCTCTTTTATAATACAGCACTAGCATAAACTGATGCAATCAAAAAACAAAAACAAAAAAGATGGATGTTTTAGAAGAAATGTAGAAGTTTGTTGTAAAAAAATGTAAACAAGGGGAACACTGAATATGTAAATTTATGTCAAGAAATTAAAAAATCTAAATTAGGAAACCACTCAAAAGGCTAAATAAACAAAAAAGTATTAAAATGAAATAAAATCATTTTCTGCATGTATGAGAATAACACAAGTCACTTCAGGAAAGACAAACAGTGTAGTCCAGGTCTAGTCAACTCAGGCGAGCAGAACTAATGTAACCTTGAGACAAGGAAAGGAAGTGAACACACACAAACACATCGCCCCAAGTGTAAATAGGCTAGGAACATGGCTGTCATTGCTTTTCCAAACTTTTGGATAAGATGGCCAATCAAGGACAAAACAGGTCATACGCACCACTAAGATAAACTTAACATGCACAAATATGATTTAACCACTGAGATAAATGGAGTGGAGCACATGGAGGGGCTTAATGTAACAAAATGGCATCTTCAGCTACTGCTGGATCAATATTAGAAGCAAGCAGATTAGGGGTCTTTGTCACCCCACACAAGGCAGAGAAGGCAGGTCATTCTCCACAAAAGAGCCCTCAACAAGCCACTGAGCTAAACAGACACAAACCTTAATGTTCACAACAGCAAACACGACTTAAATGTATTGTTGTTTGGACCAAACATAATAATAATAATAATAATAATAATAATAATAATAATGGGCCAAATTAAGTTTCTTCTACATGTCTAACAAACATGTAATTACATGGATGTTAACTGTTGTTGACATCAAGGGAGAGAAAAAAAAATGTCCGCAAAAGTTGTTCATGTATTTTTTTTTGCTGTTATTAGTCCTGTCAAATGTTGAAATAAAAGCAAAGTAAGTAAACTATAACATGTGTTAACGTCAATGCTATTACTACGGGAACAACAAGGGCCCGTCGTACTTGGAAGAGAAAAGCAAATTCAACTGTTGATTCAAATCAGGTCCGAAAGAAATGGATGTAAAAAGTCTGGTGCCCAGAAAACACGTTATCATAAACAATAACCACTTTTGGGTTCAAATAGTTTATAACAATGACAGCAAACACCCAGGGCACCACAGGATGCAGGCTGTACATTATTTGATCATCTCCGCTAGGCCACATCCAGGGCCAAGCTACTGCTGACAACTAACCCATTCACCATTTATTTTGAACTATGTTGACATCATCCTCCAAAAGACTAACAAAAACCATAACCTCCAGTCGTGTCTTCCTTGTGAAAAAACACAATTATGTGTAATAAAAAAAATAAATTAAATTAAAAAGGAAACAAGTGCAGCGGCCGCAACGCTGGAGAATAAAAGCAATGCCCCAAACTTCATGCAACAAAATACGGAGCCTCTTTCTTTCACATATTAGGGTTCAAGTCGTGCATTATGAGGGAGTTCAGTGGAGGAGACGGTGGGGGTGGGAGCATGAGGAATTTCCTGCCAAATGTGCAATAAAATAAAAGTCTAGCTGGTGGCCAGACACTTCCATAAAGGAATGTTTAAAGGGCTACCAAAAGGGGCTTTTATGGAAAGTTTTGTTTTCTGGAAAATACATGAAGGCCCACAACACAAAGTTTAGCTCAAATGCTCACCAACACTACACAACGTAAAGATTTCAAATGTCCACATACTAACTGGAGCTAGTGGCGGAGACACACGGTGAAAAACAAAATGAGGCTTGTTAGGCAGGACTAACATTTAACGTTAGTCGAGTCTGTCTTTTTTTCCCTTTTTTTTTGCAGAACAAAGGAGTAATTTCCTCCTCTCCGTGGTCGATGCGGAGACCATCACACACTTGGCTCGCCACCTCAAACCAGACAAAAACTTACATCCCCCGCTTTAACCACACATTCCCAAAAACTTTTCGAAAATTGCAGGCGTCAAAATAGGTGTCAGTGAAACCCATCGAATTCATGCAACTTCCCCCGAAACATGAAGTGAAAGAATGTGTTTTTTTACCTCTCCTCTCCAAGTGTCTGATATCCAACAGTAAAAAGAAAAGCGGAGACTCGCAAGGGGAAAAACATAAAACTTCAAGAGAATTTCGACCTCAGTGCATGAAACGCATTGGAGCACCGTAGATGTCTTCCTTTTGTCCCGGTTAGCCTGTTTTTCACACAGCGCCCACGTGTTTGCTTCAATGTAACAAGTCTGTGTGCAAACAAATCTATTATAGTAACTAATCTCGCGTCTTCCTTTTTTGTTGTTACAACTGAGATGATTTCATTCTTCTCGTAGACATCTTCACCACCTCCGTCCACATTGTCAGACGACACACCGTATCCCTCCGCACAAAAGTGAGGGCCTCAATGCCAGCGGTGTCCGATTTCAAACGCCTTTGAGAGACGGGGTGTTTTTACACAGAAAAAAATACAGCTGTAACGTCTTCCGGTTGCCAAAACGACGGAGGTTTCTAATCCCGAAGCTCAGTTTTGTGTGCCGTATCCGCAATCATCAAAATGCGAGAGCGCTGCGAGCACTATGTCGTTCAGCGGAAGGCTATCGTAAGAAAGTTACCTGCGATTACACAGCAGCAGCTTGACGAGATGGCACGATAAATGCGAAAGAGCTCAGCCAATGTGAAAGCGTGTGCGCTTGATTGACAGCAACGGGAGCCAACCAACGGCCGTGAATCCCACTAGTACCCCGCCTTCTTCTTGACGCTCACTTTCCCTGTGTGCTCAGGGAGGCTGGCTGAGGGGGGCTCCAACATGCCCGCTGACATCATTTTATTACATTGGTTGGTGTGTCCTCTTTTTTTTTTTTTTTTACAAAAAAAAACAACAACAACAACAACATTATCTTCTATACACGGCTTTATATTATTTTGTTGTCATTATAATAAAAACAGCAACTGTAAACTAAATTATAATTTTCATCGATGGTGTAATATTAAACATTTAAATGGTGCTAGATGTAAAACTAGTATTACTGATACATAGACCTACTTTTTATTTTCTGTACATCAATACAACTGTATGACATAAGAGAATAGTTTTTTGATTTCCTGATGTATCTAACTATTCAGACTAGGGTTTTTTTCTTTTCTTGTTGTATTTTCTTTGTTTGTTGTTGTTTACCTAGCACTTACATACACATATTCTATGTCAAAATTAACATGTTTCCAGATATTCTCTGCTTCCAAAATAATTTTTGGTCCAGCTGACAATCTGATCAACTGCTGTAATCATGAAACATTGTTTCCATTAGGGCTGCAACTAACAGTTACTTTTTATTGATTAATCTGCTGCTTATTTACTCAATTAACCAATTAATTGTTCTGTTATCAAAATGACAGAAAAGCAAAAAATACCCATTGTAATTTACCAGAGCCCAAGGAGCTACATCAAAAAGCTTGTTTTATCTGACCAGCAGTACAAACCCCAAAAATACTGAGTTTCCTATCATATATGACAAAGAAAATCATCACATCTTCATAATAAAGAAGCTGGAAACATCCAATGTTTCACATTTTTGCATGAAAATTGACCGGTTATCAAAAAAAGTTGCTGATTAATTTTCACTTAATGTACTAAAATCTGAATCCATTTATTGTTTATGCTCTAATTTCTATGTGATCAGTCTTTTTTGTGAATGGGCTGATAAACATAAAACCAACACACCCCTAGTAACTGCCTGCTCCAGAGCAGAGTGGAGAGGAGGGAGAGCAGAGAGTATAGGATCACAGAGGAAGGGGGGGGGAGAGTTCAGAGAAAACAGTTCAAACAGGGAGGGCACACCGGATGATCAACGCAAATGTGTCTGTAATGTTAAAATTCTGCTTTTACAAGATAACATGACCAATACATAGATATTGGAAATGAACTGTAGTCACCAGAATTATGATGAACCACTCACAATGGAATAAGATTAGATGACCTGATATGTAACTACTATGTTTCCTGCCTTTATTCAATATGCACACAACATCCCTCACACAAAAAAACACACAATAACCACTCATTTGAAAAGTGTATGTAGGTGTTAGACAGCTGTTGTTTTGAGCCTGAGGGCAAACCTTGTCAAAAAAGAGGGAGGTTAGAATAACCCCTCTTTGTTTCCAGTCTACAACTTCCAAAACTACCACGTTATATAGACAGAGATTCTACACATATACTATTTAAGAAAGACAGAAAACCACAGAAACCTTCAGGTACAGAAAGATTTTGTTAACATCTAAGCATGCAGATATCACTATCGACCACTACAAAGGCCAACAACTTTTGAGTCACTATGTGGGCAGGATGTCCATGTCTCGGGTGTGAGCTCTATAACAAAATAAAGACATGGCAAATGCAAATTCCATATAGCTGCCTAAGTGTTATTATACACCCTAATGCCTTGTACTGTCTGTTTGCACAGAGTTTACCAATGGGATGGGGGATTTGCTGTCAATAGGACATATAGGTAAATAATCCATTGGGTGTCCCCTGGGTAAAGGAAAAGCCTCGGCACAGAACATTAATTAGTCTCATGGACCGTCTTAGGAATGTAATGGGGTTACTGCTCGGAACAAACGCACATATGGGCCATAAATACCTTCACAAACATACCATGCACACATTCACATTTGGTCACACGCACATACGCAGACATACGCGCACAGGTACTCACACACATTCACAAAAAAGAAAGGAAAAGACAGCCGTACCATCAGAAAATAATCGCAGCTATCAAAGAAAGGGCATCTTGAGTTATTTATCTAACACCTATTTGGAATCCTTTTATTGAGGAATGTATTAATCAAAAGATTAGATTTGAACAGATGGAAACATCTGTTTGGGGAAATGAATTTCTGGTGGAGGCAGAGAAAATCTCTCATATTCTCGCTTTTTCCAGTAGACGTTAGGCCTTGAGTAAGAATAGTGCTGTTGTCAGTATTAGCAATGAGGCTTGTAAGCCCTCCAAGTAGTTTGTAGTAACAGCTGGGTCTGACATGGAGAGCATGTACAAGGGCAGCCAGGCTGAAGAGAGGGAGGGGGTGGTAGAAAAAGAATTAAAAAAATATATATAGTGAGGATCTTCACTTTAATGAACAAAGAGTGAGTCTAACGGTGACACGAGGTTAAACAGAAATTGGTTGTATAACATGAAACCGAAGACAGAAGAAATGTGTTTTAAAGCGTTACCCTCTCTATATTGCTATCACACCTATAATTTAAAAAAAAAGTGAATTAGGGTGGCAGCACTTTCTCATTGAGGCCAAGGGCAATAGATGCTTTCATATGGTATTCTGATATTGAGCAATGCAATTTTACATTCAGCCGTTACAAAATAATTAGTGCGGCCTAGAATATGTGAACATTATAATGTTGCTGCCCACTATTCTGTTTGTTTCGCAATTAACACGGACATAAAATAACACATAGTGACCTCTAAAAGCTCTATGCTACAATCATGTTTCATTATGCACAGTACATATATGGGTAATCTGCTGCATGGTAACCTAAAAGCTTACAGCGTCATTATACAGGAGGGACCAAACAAAAAACACAAACATATAGCGTATAATCTCAAAGTACATTCACAGTACAATGGACAGTTAAAGGAGAGGGATGCTGTCACACATGCCCTCGTTGATTCCTTCAAGCCATTCCCAGCTTCATATCTGTAATTAACAACAGATGCACATGGAAAATTAGCATATGTTTGGCACATTGGTGCTAATCGGTCATATATTTGTGCATATTAATGACATATCTGTCCATGAACACATATTCTGAATTACATAAATTCACACAAGAAACAACAACGTGTAATAATGTGTGTTTGTTACTTAATCCTCTCTGGATTTCTCAAATCAATAATGCTTCGTGGAGAACAAATAAAAAAAGGGCAATCCGGCATCATAGCAGAGACGCCTCACATGTGTCACTTTTGATTCTAGCCGCTTTAACCTCCAATCAAAAATCAATGTTTTGTTACCACGATCTCATAGCCGGGCTGCCTCAACACTCGCGCATGTTATACACCTTTTAGCACTCATTGCCATCCTGCTCCGCTCATAGGAAGCCAGTCATGCACGCCAAACCACATCACCGGGTTATATCACACACAATGATAAGCCCGTAAACATACTGTATAGGCAGCACACACATAATGCACACAGAGCTCGGTGGTGAGGCAAGCTGCTCACCTCGTTCCATACTGAGCCCCTCACAGCCTGTAATAGTAGAGGCTTAGGTTTGGGTGGGGGAAGGGCAGAGGTGCACAGGTTTCTGATCAGACAAGAAAACTAGGCCAAGACCAACAATCCCTCTCTTCGAACAGCCTCAGCCCCTCCTAAATGCTACAACTTTGTTACAGCCTTGTGACAATCACTTGCAAGATTGTCATTAATGGCAAAGCAGCGGAGTGATTTTGAGCCACAACACGTGTATTTAGAGGCATAACAGCTTCTCATAGCCGGGCTATGATTCATGCTTCCTTGCCCCTTTGGAAGCTGTCCTCCAATAAGAGTTAGAGGCTGGGGGTAGGAGCGGATAGATTGATAGTGTTGGCTGAGTGCCCATGCTCTGAGTCTATCTGTGCTGAAGGGGAGGAGACAGGGGGAATCTATCTGTTGTGCTCTCTGTGCTCATGATAAACTGACTCCCGTCAAGCTTCTTCCCCCTATTACAGCTCGCCTGGCAGAAAACACCCAAACTCGCACTCACTTCCAACATGTTAAACAACAGTAAAATGTGTGGAGAGTGGAGTGAGTGATTTAAACAGGGCAATAATCCACAAGGTTATGCTATCCTCTTTCAGTGATAGTTGAAAAGCATAAGCGGAGCAGAGCAATTGTTTTGGAACTAGTGAGGACAGGATATCTTCTTGAATTCAAACGAGTATTTAAAACAGGCAAACTCAAAGGGACACAAAGAACCCAGATTTCACTTCATCACAAATGGGACCATCGCCAGTCGAAAATGCAATGTCTCTCTCTCTCCCTTATCCTGAAACTGTAATTCCCACAGAGCTCCATAGTGAGAAAGAAAATGAGTTTGAGGGATTGTCCATGACATTAATCCTCCCAAACACTACAGTTCTAGATCCAATACAGACAGACAAACACAAAGCAAATCAACAATCTATTTACTAAAGGAAAAACTAAACCAACAATCCTTTTGACTTCTGTCTGCTCTCATTTGACAATGACTTTCCTGGATGCCGCCTTCTTCTGTTCTCTCTGGTGATTTCATGGGACCCCTCCCTGCCATCTTGGATTCCCATTATTGTGCAGTTGTATGGGTGCCCCTGTTCTGCCACCCACGCTTCAGGTACAGTGAACAGAACACCAGCTTCCTGTTTACAAAGCCGGTCAATTGAGAGCTCCAGCACCAGACTGTACAGTTGAGGTAAAGAGCAGACAGGAGACTGCAGTGGTGATTGAATCTGATTTTTTTTTGGTTAAAAGAGAGATGAAGAATGGCAAGGTGAGAGAGCAACAGAGAGTGGAGCAAGCAGACGGAGAAAGTGCAAAGTAGAGAGGAGTGTTCCTACCTGAGCCAAAAAAAATCTCTACCCCAATCTGAAAATAATACAGTAGTCATATATCGAGGGGGTGTGCAAAAAGTCACATGATAACAATCAGATCAGAAGCTGAATTGACTCTAAATCAATTGAAGTAGGCATGTCAGGGCTGCCCAGGACAGGAGGGGGAAGAGAGGGAGTGAAAGGGAGATAGATGTGAGCCCGTGTGGGGGAGGGAAGCAGAGATTGTTGGTGTCGTGGGAGCACTGCAACAACAATAACAGCAGTGTGTGTGTGTGTGTGTGTGTGTGTGTGTGTGTGTGTGTGTGTGAGTGACATAGTGAATGAGTTAGAGTGGAAGTGGGGATGTGTTATGGCTCACAAAAGTGATGAAATGACATCTCCTTTACTTCAGCACACAGCTGCCGTTGCAGCAAAGAACATACTGTTGAGATATCTGACCTTCTATTTTCTTTGGTAGCCGCTGGTCAGAAGTGTCTGCCTGCCTGTCATGTTCTCCTCTAATTAGCTATATCCACACAATGAACACACTGTGTCCGTTCCAAACAGATTTCTGTCCATTGATACTCCTGTCAATAAAATGTGCTTTGAAATACATGACTTTTTATTTGTAAGGGTGTTTGATGAGAAAAAATAAAAACCAAACAAACCCATGTCCTAATTTGACATAAATGTGTTTTGAAGGCTCTTCATTATACATTTATATTCCCCAAAATACTCCCAGCCTGTATACATATCATCAAGCAATAGTCTCAAATAACTAAGCTAATAATTTACATTACACCTTCCAGGTAAAAACAAATCCGATATGAAAACTTAAGGATATGACAAATTTTCGGGTTGAGGCTTCTCTCTTTCGTTGTTTTCTCTATTTCTTTCATCTCTTTTTCTCCTCCCCTCCCCCCTTTCTTTGCAGATTAGAATTCATTAGCAATCAAAGAGCCTCCAGAGAGCTCCAGCTCTTAATTACCTACTCATTTGCATTTTTGCATATTAATGACTGCAGGGTTTTGGTAGGGTTTTTGCCGCAGTGGTTTAAAGGCACCTCAGTCCTCTGTTCTCCGGGGAGGAGGAGAGATGGCCAGAGGCAAGGCTCCAAGCCTGTCCAATCCCCCCTCTATCCTTCCTGATGGGAGCTGGACAGAGCAAGAAGAGGGGTGGGTGTTGGCTTGGGGCATATGGGACGGGTGGGTTGCGGTGGTGGGGGGACGACAGGGGTGCACAGGTTAAAGGTCAATGTCCCTTATCAACATAAGAAAGAACACATGTCTACCACGCTACCTAATTATTGTCATATTGAGCAGTTTAAACACCTGATCTGAACAAAATATACCCTAAGAGAAACTGGAAATCTATACTGCAGAGATTGCTCACGTGGGTTTTATTGAGGACGGCAGCTAGTTTGGATGAAACTCATGTCCCACAGTGTGCAGAGGCAGGGGCATTTTATATCCCTGGAGAAAGGTGTGTACTGGTGAAAATGAGGCTAGTGTTTGTGTGTGTGTGCGTGTGTCTGTTTGTGTGTGTGTGTGTCGCTGTTTTCCTTTACATTACAGCCTGTCTCCAAGTGCTCATTGTGAGGGCAGTAAGAGGCTCATTCACCGTGAGTCTTAATGACGACGGCGTGCATGCACATGTGCGCGAAGCAAGTAAGATTATAAAACCACACCTTTGCGCATAAGCATATAGACAAACATGTCAACAGAAACAGTTGCAGGCACATGAGTACACACATGCGTGCACATTCACATGCACAGAGTGAGGGAATAATATGACTAGAGACGCCAGACAACAGCTCCCAGGCATCTCCTAGCCCCTGAAGTGCTGCTGTTCCTCTTATCCAATATGTTTTGACTGCAACAATAATGTCTGAACATGGAAAATAACAACATATCCCACTGTGTTTTTAGATACCTTACAAACATAACAATTAATGACTTGGAGCCCCGAGACATCTGGCCAACAGGTTCAACATGACTGAATAAAACATGTCATACTCTAATATATTACTCAGTGTGGATTTGTATCGTAGTAAATCTTAAAAAAAAACCAAAAAAAACTATTACATTTGTCATATAAATAAGGAAAATGTGAGCATGTCACATTTATGAGGACTAGCGGAAACATATTTACATACAGTGATACAACATGCAGGACACATACATGTCTCATGATGCATCCCTGAAAACATACTGCTCACGGAGTGGGCTTAAGTCGACTTAACTGCTATTAGTGGAGCATTATAAAATGTGTGTGCGCGTGTAGCCAGGGCCTGAGGACTGCAGCAATGTGTGGGCTGTTGGGGTGGGGTTAATGAGCTGTTCTATGACCTCTGTCACCCCACAGGATCGCCTCAGGGAGGCAGACCGAGACAAACAGGAAGACATGGTGACAACAAGCCCATGGTTGCAGTCTGCCGCTGGACTTCTGGGACGAATCAGATTTAAAAACACCATATAGGTGGCATAACCTCGATAGATATATCCTCAAACAAGGCCTTAGCCTCTATTAGTAAATATCCTTTGGACCCAAACAACTTAACTACAGTCCTCTTGATGTATGTCAGGCCGAAACACACTGTGTCTGCATCATATCTGGTGATGCTTTATTTGTAATGTAGAATCTGAGTGTGAGCATGGTTGTATGTGTGTCCATCTTTATCCATCAGACAAAATGTAGACCCTAACTTGATCTGTGCTATCGTGGTCAGGAAGGAGGGTGAGTGAGCGAGCAAGAGAATGAATGCGAGAGAGAGAGAGAGAGAGAGAGAGAGAGAGAGAGAGAGAGAGAGAGAGAGAGAGAGAGAGAGAGAGAGAGAGAGAGAGAGAGAGAGAGAGAGAGAGAGACACACACACAGCAGTGACGTGTGGCTGCACTTTGAGGATCACTGCATCCTCAAATGATAATAACAGGGATATTACTGCCACCTTGTGGTTGGTGTAGAGAACTGACTTGTTCTGAGTGGTTGTATTGTGCAGTAAATAAAGCAATATAACAACCACGTCAGTACAATTCATGCCATACAGAAGTCCTGCTATTAAATACATATAGGTACAATATACCTCTGTTGGGCTAATCATGTTTGATTTTTGTTTTTAATTTCACTGTTTCTGTTATTTTGACCCCCGTTGTAACGCTACAAATTTAAGTTTTATTTGACAGGACAACGTAACTTAAGTAAAAATACTGTATAACCATGGATTCAGATAAAACTGCCTACAGAAACCAGACTGTAACAAACCAATGTATTATGTTTGATAAGTTAAGAGACAAAATTATCCACGCAAAACTTTGCAACCATTGTTTTTAATAGAAAGATTTTATATTCTTTAAACCAGACAACCAGATGCCAGACATTTTTGGATATATTAAAAAAAAAGAACAGAACAAAAAAAATGACACAAAATGGAATTATATGGTTTAGACTGTGTGGATTTAGTGGTCTCATATACAATACAATTTCTTTTCATCGCCAAAAAGTGCAAATTCTCCAAAAATCACCTATATTCCCCCCCTGCAGCTTCCAACAGATATGGACTGACAGACTGCTATGCTAAGAAAAAAAAAAAAACAACAACCTTTGTGAAGAGAAAGGGGTTTGATTAAAAAAGTAAATCCACTCTGAATCACGTAGAAGAGGAGAACGGCTGCTGCTGCACTCTGCAGGTTAAAACATTCGCTGACGTCGCACTTCCTCACAGCAGGTATTCTGCCTTTGGGGTACACTTGTTGTGAAAAAACAAGGTGGGGTGTGGTCAGCTGTGCAACAAGGATGAAAGTTTGAACACACAGAGAGAAGTGGAGCAGCAGTTTTCCGCCTAACGTGACGCCGTGTGTATTTACAGTTATGTCCGGGATTGAGAATCGGGACACATTCTGCCATTTCAAATGTACATCAGAAAAAACAAGGATTATCATAATGATCACAGTTACAAATCAATCTATTATAAATAGTAGCCTATTCCTTTCTCTCCCAAGTTAAACCATTTACTGAACTATAGATTTATTGAATGCTTATTATGATCAATATTACTCTTTCCACTCTACTGCAATAATCTTGATTTGACATAGATGTTAAGGCCAACAAAATTTGCCGTACTGATTTGCAAAAGTGCATGATGATCATTTGGCCATTTCATCCGTCTTTCATAATCACCTATGCTCTGTATGGATACCAGATCCAGCCTTTAACAACAGACAGGGCGTTATTGCAGACAAAGAGATTCTGCAGTGGATACAACACTGCATGTTTAACATTCAGCACAGCTAGCCTTCTCAGAAAGCTTTGCAACTGTTATACAGGTTTCTTTTTCAAGAAAAGGAGTCTCCCAAAATGAGATCAAATGACCTTTCTCCCAATAAGATCTGAGACAGTAAGCAGAGAGCAGGTAGGGGGAGATCTGTCCTGTAACCCCCCCTACCTTTGTGTGACTATGCAATAAGCTGCATATAACAGGTATGAGAACAGAGATGTGTTTGTTTATGTCCAGATGAGGTGGCAGCTCCGACCACCTGTCAATCCAGATAGCAAATATTCAAGTTTTTTCTTTTTTTTTCTTTTTCATCATGTTGGTTTTTTCTTTTTTTGCATTTAAATAATCATCTGCACTGAGAAAACAAAACAAAAAAAACATAAACAGGAACAACACAATTATAACAATAGTGATAACCATAAAATAAAAGCACACAAAATTCAGGATGGCCTTTCGCAAAGTGCTTTTGTTACAATCGCAGAAGCTGAAAAAAGGCAGTTGGATAGCGGTGCGCCAGGGGCCTTTTTAACTGTCTGTCTACATGTCTGTCTGTCACACAGTAGAGGGATAGTGAGGCTAGACGGACTGACTGAAACAGCCAACTGCAAAATGTTGACCATTTCCTCCTGCCGTCTCCAACTCACATCCTTTATACCTGCCAAAAACTCCAAAGTGGGAATCACAGTATGAAGTTATGGAATGTATCCTAAATTGGTTTAGGTGACTGAAAACTGAAACTGTCTCTTACTCCACATCTCATCCAATCCCCTCTCCCTCCTTTCTCTCCTGTCGATTCCCCCTGCTGAGGGTGTGTGATCTTTGATCAAAGGCCAGTCGGCAGCAAAGATGTACAGTCTGAGTCCAGAGAGAGGGAGAGCGATGGGAGAAGAAAGTAAGAGAACATACACCCCCCATGTTTCTCCAACCCCATCTCCTTTCAGAAATGTTACAGTCTGACTAATAAGACTGAATCTCCAGTGGCTTCCTTCCCTCCAACAAACAATCCACTGGATCAATATTAGATGGAGAAATAGGCTGGTCACAGCCACTTTACAATGAGGGAACTGTTCCTGTTTTTATCTTTCTGGGAACTATTATGTTAAATATTGGTATGAACAAGAAAGGCAAAGACAGAGATGGAACTTGGAGGGTGATTAGACATACCATAAACTTAGCAGACATTGAAACCCAATGCATAGCAGTGTATTTTCCACCTGAGTAGTACTTACATAGAGACAAAAGAGATCCGCAACATTCTCCTTGTTGCAGTTCCCCAATGTGAAATCTGTGGTGACCTCCTTTGTATTACAATTCTTATCATATTGTGGCCATGCAATTCCTACCAGCTTTAGAGGACCAACACTGAACCATTGCTCAGCAAATAAGTCCGTCACCTGGGCTTTCTAACCTCATCCCTGAAAACAACATCCAGCCATCCCCCACCACCCGTATTTAATCCTCCTCCCTGTATGCCAACCTTTGTATCCCCAGAGACTGAGAAAGACTCCAAGTGCAAACTGTCCCCACTTGGCTGAGAGCAGCCAACAGACAGCAGCCTGCCTCTCTGAAGGACCCAGGGCTGTCTGTGTAAGTGCCAGAGCCACGCTGCGCATAGTGCCGTACTGCATATGCTGCGCTCAGCTTGCTGTGCATCAAGAGCCTGATGGAAAACACGGAAAAATATCAGGTGTGCAGGAAAATGACAAAGCAAAGCAAATAACCCCTTCAAATCTCAATATTAACAGTCACCCCGTCCTGCTTCGTTTGATTATTTACAGTTATAATTGTTATCATAGTTGTTGGTCGTCTTTGTTTTATGGCCTTCTCAGATAGGATAACCAAAAATCTTTGATAACAGCATTGGAAAAAAAACAAAACATATCAAGGTCAATTTGGAAAAACGCAAGTGTTCTGAGACTCAGTGTAGCCTGTGTCAGAGTAACCTTGGTGTGGGGCTGAGGCGGAGGACACACCAGTTGTGGATCTATAGAGGCTGACAGAGACACAGCTCTGAAGTAGTGGCTAGTACAGATACATTATTGTAGATGAATTCAAGTAAAGCTTAAACAGCTCAATGATGAATTTCAGTACCAAGCCAATCAGCTTTTACAATTTGGTTTTAAAATTGGGAAAGAAAAGTGTTTATGGTAAAAAAAAAACAATAAAAAAATAAATGTTGTGAGTTTTGTCAGTCCACGTCCACATAAGGCACACTGTGGCCCTAGATTTTTTTTACTGTCCACCTGGTGGGATTGAGCCTCAGCCTCACACTGCACAATACAACTGTCTGGAAACATACAATGAAAAAAGCTTAGTGCTGCTCAGACAAAGCCTCAAAGTCCCAGTCTGCTTCAACTAGAGAACATTTCAAAATTCAAGTCAACCTTTTCAGAAAAGTAAACTGAAATCATCCAATTCAGAAAGGATCAAAATAAACAGTGTTTAACAATATTTTTCCATTATCATTTCATATCATAATTCATCGGTTGACTGAACATGAGACAATCGTTGATAAAATCCCATCTCTGAAATTTAAAAAGAACTGGGTTCAATATCTCTGGCACCTGCACACAGTACATCTCAGCCATCAGATCAGGACACACTCAAATGTTTCCAATGTTTTCGGAGTCTTTGCTACTTTCTAAGTGCCTAAATGTTGTATATTTGGAATATTTCAATATAAAGAGCAAATATGATTTGATCACACTATTTCTAGTTTCCATATAAAGTTACATCCACAATCTCTTTTCAAGAGCCTTCAGATTAAACAATAAAACCTCTATTAATCCGACATTAGATTGGTAGCTTAAAATGTCCAATGACTTGAATGCCAGCCATTTTTTCTCCTTTGGTATTTGTTGTTGTTGGACGTCTGTATATTTTTTTAATATACTGTACATGATTATTTCTATGGAGGGGTTGGATGGACTCTTTATGAGACCATTGAGTATTAACCACACTGCTCTGTGCTCATGGAAACTCGCAGGCCTTTCTGAGGTCTCCTGCCCTTCTCCCATAAGCAGGACAAGGACATTTAACATTAGTGCAAACTTTTGCTCTCTCAGCTAAAGCACCATTTCCAGTGCTATCAGGCTTTATATCCATAACCCCACCCAAGCACCCATTTACCCCACCCTCCTGGCACAGCAACCCAAAACCACGACCCCATCCCACACGCATACACACATGCACACACGCATACACACACACACACACACACACACACACACACACACACACACACACACACACACACACACACGCACAGCCATGTAAAATTGTTAGAAAGAAAAATAGCTGTAGCACAACACCTTATTTTAAGAAATACGAATGTAGACAGACAGAAAAAAACAATACATCCTCAAACCTCTGATTCTATTGTCCACAAGGATACAAAGAGAAAGCAAACTCAAGTAAATATCTGTATGATTACACACACTTATCTGCATATGTATTCAAGAGGAGGGCATCTGTGGCTTAGTCAGGGAGGCCCATTCTGGATAAATTATAGACATACTTTTAATATCTCTAGTCTAACAGTAGACTAAGATTGAGGGCAAAAAGCTTTGGTTAATCAACAAACAACATAAGACTTTTGGGGAAATATTTAGGTCCGAGAAACATATGTTTAAGACGGCTCACAGGGCTCACTTCGAGACAAAATGGGTTTAAGCAGTCCATACCAAGTACCACTACATAAAGATCACAAACCAGGTAGACATACTGTATCCAGCTTACATTGGTCTGCCTGTGGGAGTCAAACTGTGCATTAATAAACCCCATCTTTATCATAACAGAGAGGCAAAAATAGAAAGCAAAACTCTCAAGACCTAGCCAACCCCTGACAATGACCAACAAGGGTAAACAAAGAGTTATGCAAATCTGCACCAAGAGAGCCATGAAGTAAACAAGCAACTGTCCAATGAGTTGTTTTACAATATGGTATTTTTGCTTCTGTGGTACCGTGGACCTATTATCACTGTGGTTCCTCAGAGAACACGTGTAGTTATGAGAGAAGCTGGTGAACAGATGGGGTAGACACGAAGTTTGTTTATCCAAGCTTGTCCTGAGACCCTCCAGCCTGCCAGCCAGCAAAACATGCTTATGCACGTGCACGAAAAACTATGCACGCACGCACGCACACACGCGCACACACACACACACACACACAGTGCCCTTTCTTCTTTGTCTGCCTCCTCCTTCTATCCGCTTCCTTTACATTAAGACATAAAGACAACTCACTAGATTTCTTTAACAGCTAACTTCAAGTGCAATCAGTTACATGGATTAATTTTGTTTTTTGTTTTTTTTAAGGTCACAAAACCCAGCCTGTATCTGAACCCGACCGCAGTCTCATTTAGAGATCTTAACTCATATATTTCTGGGTTTTTTGGCAGCTCGTCATCAAAACCTGAACAAAACCAGTGAAGGAGCACAACTTCATCACCACAGACAGACAAAAGGACTGATCTCATTTGCAACTGGTTTGTTTCAAAGTACCCGTTTCGTTGACAAAAGTGCCCTCCTCAGTAACAAAGTGCATTCATAGCCTGCCTCTTTCCAATTAGGGTGCAATGGACTGATAGTTGAACTAAAGCACTACTGCAGAAGTTATAGGGTGAGGTGGGGGGGGGGGTGTCTAAATCACACGCATGTTCTGTTCTTGACTCAAAGGCTCAACGTGCAAGTTTGGAAAATAACATTGGATTTGGAGTACAATAAGACAACTTGGATATTTTAAGACTAACAAATCCAGATGTATGGAGTCACTAACAATATTCAGACAGATATGTCAGCTCTGGTGTTTTCCCCTTCTCTACAGGATACCTGGACTCAGTGAGTGACTGTGAATGTGTGTGTGAGAGAGAGAGACAGAGAAAGTGCATTGGGGCTGGCAGCTCAGGGTGCATGTTTGAACAGGCTGTGGCTGACTCACACAGTGATGATGTGGCCAGAGCGACCCTGGCTGCCACGCACACACATGTACACAAACACACGTACATGTAAACACACTCACACACTAAACTGCCAGCACCAGGCGTCCTACCCACAATAACACCAGGCTCTAATATAATAATATCCCCTCCAGGCTGGTTCGGGGGCATTAGAGGACTACAGAGGGAGAGAGAGGGAGAGAAAAGGCCTGATTTGATCCCCTCCTGCCTGGAAACGTGGCTGAGCTGGGGGAGATTATTTTTTGGAATGCAACAGACATTGTGAGATCCCCCTCCCCTTCCCCTGTTCCCCTCCCCCATCAACCAGCTGCAGCTGTGCTCCTATTCGGCCTCCCAACTTGGACAGGTATTTATTGCTCTCTTCATCATACAGGTTGCCTCACGGTTGTGTGGTCCCTAGGGCAAAAAGATTGGAATAAGCATGATACATAAACCTCCTCTCACTCCCTCCCCAACACCAGCCCACTTCCTTTAAATATACCTCTTTCTCGCTCTGTTGGATATCTTTAGTAAAGCTGTGCAAACATAGAAAAAGGTGCTCATCTATCTCTTCTTCGTACTCTTTGTCAATCTCTCACTCGGGCTCCCTGCCATTCCTTTAACCTGCGATTGGTTAAATGCTACCCGCGCCTTGTCACACAAGGACAGATTCCGAAAAACTGCACAAAGTTAAGCACATTCATTCATTCGACCTCCTCATCCTTTGGGCAGGAACTATACATGTCAAGTGTTAAGTTTAGGACAAATGGGTGATTCAATGTTCTTTTCTTTTTTCATCAAACATTCATACAGTTTGTTCACCCACAAGCTTCACTCAGTGAGAAATATGACATCAAGCCAAGGAGGAAAAACCCGATAAGTACACCTCAGCATTAAGAGGGGACCAATGTCATATCACCACCTGCTGTATATACATGTATACAATTATAAAGTGTCAAGTACCCGAAGCAGTCAACAAAAAGAACGACAAAAAAATTAAGACAAAATCAAAAGGGAAAACAGAAATGCTGAAATTGCAGGGTTGTGAGGGATAAGAGGCGACGTAGTCAAGCCAACAAATACATTGACGATGGTAGTGCTTCAAAAACACAAACCCTCCACCCCTCATATTCCCTAGTCCTGCAATTGATGAGCCCCCAATAAAATGGATTTGACTCAACATCAATTTGTTTTTCAATAAGACAAACCATATATTCTTAAAATGCATTTTATAGAGAAAGCAACACTTCAATCAAACCCTTGTCTGATTCTTTCTGGAACATTTAGAGAGAAAAAACTGTTGCATCAAAATTGTGGTGACTTTTCCTTGCATATGCCATATTGTGGCAATGTTGTTTCTATGGTAACTGTACATTTCAGACCTGCAAAAGAATAGAAAAAGAGTTGTTTTCACTGGGAGGATTTGTCCTCGCTTCACCCGTACAGCAGCCAGAAGGTGCTTGATAGACACCTTGCTTAGAGCTTGAAGGCTGTGAGGACAAAACCAATAAAAATCTAAATCAACTGCATAGTTGCTCAGAGTTTCTTTGTATCTATCATACATTTGCCTAAGCACATATGCCAATGTATAAAACCCCTAATATTATAAAGAAAGAAATGGCCCAGAAAGTGGACGTCATGGGTGCATGATTTGAAGCGTTCTTTGCTCTTCAACAGATAAACCGACTCAAGTGCTTGCAAGTCTACTCCATTTCCTAGTAAAAGTAAAAGGAGAAAGAAATATAAAGATTAGATTTTTGTGACACCCTGATTTGGTTTATAGAGGAATAGTTAGTTGTTTTGTTTGTTTTTTAAAGTTTGCCTTTGCATGTTTTTTCTCCTCTCTGTTCACTGGCCTGTCTCACAGGCGGTGCAGAGTGACTATGGTGTCCAGCAGCGTCCTTGTCGCCCCTGCAGTCTCAGGGCCCTGTCTCCCCTGCCAACTCCTGCAGCTGAGGACTGTGTGCATGAGCTCCAGCAGCCCCATCCACCTCTGCTGCTGAGGACGCCTCCGAGCGCCGCCGTCCCCTGATGGTACGAGGCCCGGGGCCTGTGTCAGAGCCGGGGCTCAGCAGGCCCAGGGGGGCATCGAGGAGCCCTGGCTCTCGCACCCGAGGCTTTCGGCCTCTACGAGAAGGGATGCCGTTGCAGCCGTCCTTCTTGAGGTGGCGGTGCAGGTGATCCGAGCGCACGAAAGTCTTGAAGCAGCTTGAGCACTGATAGGGGCGCAGGCCAGTGTGTACGCGCATGTGGTTCTTCAGGTCGTAGTTGTGAGCAAAGGCGGCTCCACATTGCGTACACAGGTAAGGCTTCTCTCCTGTATGCTTCCGCATATGAACCTTGAGTTTGTCCTGCCTGTGAGAGAGAAAACGAACAAGATCACATCAGAATACACAGACAAAAAATTCAAACGCAAAAGATGGTCTGCTCACATCTATTTGAATATACTTAGTGCACAGAGACAGCTTCACGTTTTCTTTTCAGCCTCAGTTACTAATCAGGCTATCTAATATAATGCAAAATAATTAACTCAAAATATATGATTAATTCTAGTGTGTGCAGTGGCCAGCGTAATATGCTTTGGATGGTTTTATTTCCTATTAAACAGCCATCTTTTGGATCTCTTCCAGTGCGATTATTCAGTGAGGGCAGTTGGGCCAACTGAGGAGAAGCCATAAACTTTACATCTTTATCTGTGTAATTGCACACAAGAGCTCAACTGTGGACTGACGAGAAAGCTCAACGTTCACTGTGTCAGTTGGCATTTTTACGATTTCTGTTAACTTTGCTTTGAGGATGAGAGCATAACAATTGACAGACCCGAGAAATACATGCGTTTTGTGAATAGAAAATTAAGACTTCAATGTCTTTCTGTAGCGGAACAATTCCAAAATCATTTAGAAAACTTGACATTTATCGTTTAGTAGTGCTGAATTATAGATGAGTCTGTAAAACGTCATCAATTTTGTACCCTAGTTCCACAAGCTATAATTTGATTGAATGTTGTATAAGAGTAGGTTTCACCTCTAAGCACATAAAATAGTTGTTATGGAAGACTTACTTTCCAATAATTTGTGAGTTCTACAACATTTTACACTCTGATCCAAACAAGACCAAACTATGACTTTACTTCTCTAAGTCATCTCAGTACATCCTGGAACATTTTTTACTTTGCGCTGATAGACCGCCCACTAAACTTTATCAGGCTGCCTTGGCCTTCATCTGACTCTTGTCCCTCCCTCCCCCCTTTAGCCCTTACTATCTCTCGAGCTCCCGAGCTCTTTAATCGTCTAACCCTTCTGCACCCATGGCACAGGGCTCCTAAACAAACAAGCGTAGTTAAGACAACTCAATTTGAGCACACACACACACGCACACGCACACACATACACACACGCACACACATACACACACACGCCATGTAAGTGGATTAGCTGTCATACAAGCAAACAAATAAACACACTGCAACCCAGGTTTGTACAAACTGTGTCCCAAATATGAAAATGAACAAAGAAACATGTACATTAGGTGAAACACACACATGAATGCACACATACACCCAGGCCAAAGCATTAGAACAAAGTGGCACACTGACAGAGGTGAATTATTTAAAGGACAGAGTGATTTATTACCGTGCGAGGCACACTCTTAACCCTGATCAAACAGGATTAAGATTACAATACCCCCTTCCCACTGCCGGTCGAATTTAGCTAGAAGGCAAATTCAGATTGGTCTTCCCTCCCTGTCATGCCAGCAGAGGTTTCTGGGTATTTCTAGCCTACTGCATCTATTTCCAGCACAAGTCCACTGATTAATTAATTAAAGGAATGATTTCAAGGAAAAGTCAGGACTTCAAAATATGGGGAAAACCATGTTGACTCAAGTCCCTAGCAGCAGACTAGCAACATTTATCTGAGCGGCACATGGCAGATTTCATTAGAGAGGTAAAAGAGTGACAGAGAGAGAGAGAGAGAGAGAGGGGAGGGGGGTGGTGTAACTACTCTGCCATGGGCAATAATCAACATAACCAGCGATCAAAAGTTCAAATTACTGCATTGGAGCACACAGAGCGCCATCCAGGGCCTGTAATCCCCCTCTGTATCAGAACACAGCACTTTATAGCAGCCCTCCACTAGATAACACTACCATGGCACAGCCTTCTTTTATAGGACCCCTATGTTAAAATTCCAGGACTTTGCTATGAAGGCTGTCACAATAAAACAGACCTTTATAACCACCTGACCCCCTCTCTCAGAGCTGGAATGTTCCACATGCCATTTTGATTAGCATTTGGCCACAATGTGACATTGCAAAAACCTTGGTTAGGGATACTCAGTCAGTCTGCGGTGCAGGTAAACATTTAGATTCACAAATGGCTCTGCCTCCTTAATGCAAAGCTAAGTTGGTTAGTGCTAATACTCCTGCTGGCTTTGTGGTGTTTCCCACTGTTGGGCAGTTTGTGTACAGTGCCAAATCCAAGACTATTAGTAGATCTGACATGGGGTAGGCACTTCATTAATTGGGCTTACCTGGTAAAGCGCACTTTGCAGATGGCGCATTCATAGGGTTTCTCTCCCGTGTGCGTTCGGATGTGGCGGGGTAGCTTGCCTGCTCCTTGAATGACCTTGGAGCATATGGGGCATTTCTGAAAGGCCTTAGAGCGCATCTTCCTCTCTCCTCCACCTCCTCCTCCTCCACCCCCGCTGGCTCTCTCTCCCACTCCCCTCTCCCCTCCTCCTACTCTCTCTTGGCCTGCTCTGCCCCGTGATAGCCAGAGCGGCGGCACTCCCTGTGTCACATCAGCAGAAGCTGTATCCTCATGCTGCGAGCTGTTAAAATAATTCAAGTAAAATTCCATGTCGGGGTCATCCCCATCTCCCTGTTCCTCCCCAGTTGTTGCACGCTCCTTCTGCCTCTCGATGGAGTCCATCATCTGCTGCAGTAGGGCACTGGCAGAACCCCTCTCCCTCGCCATCACCTCCCTACCTCCATCCTCCACCTCTGTCTCCTGCCCCAGCCTTGACTCAGGGGGGAGGTAGAAGTGCCCATTTTGGGAAGGAGGGTAGTAAGATGACCCCAGGCTTGCTCCGTTCCCTTGCATTGCTTCCCCATCCTCATCTTCCTCATCATCCTCATCCTCTTCCTCTGGTTCCTGTGTGGGGGCCTGGGCCAGAGCAAGGGCCAGGGGGGAGTAGTACTCACCGGGGCCAGCAGGAGCCCCGTTGCTGGGGGCCCCACCGTTACCGTGGCTAAAGTGCAGGTGTGTGGGCAGGTCCCTGAGCTCCGGCGTGCTGCAGCTGCTGCTCCAGTGCGCCCCTCTCTGGAAGTACTCCAGGTACTCCCGGGCCCGCACCCGGTTCCCCTGATCCCTGCCTCCTCTGCCCTTCCCCTCCTCATCTTCATCTTCATCTCTTCGCTCAATGCCCGCCTAGTGAAACATGACGAGGAAGGAAGGACAAATTTCAGTGAAAGTTTGCTCAAAAAAAAGGATAGAGAGAGAGAGAGAGAGAGAGAGAGAGAGAGAGAGAGAGAGAGAGAGAGAGAGAGAGAGAGAGAGGGAGAGAGAGAGAGAGAGAGAGAGAGAGAGAGGCTAAGTAGAAAATAAAAATGACATTTAAAAATTCACTTTATATAACGCACATCAGGTGAAGGCTAACTAGGAAGACCTAAATCTACAACTGTAAGGCCTGTAAGGATGGGCAGATCACTATCTGAGTATCCTGGATGCACTCTCAAGGGCTTAGTATGCCCATGAGCAAATGCATGTGCAATGAGGAAATAAAAAGCTAATTGGCAAAACACATTGCTAACTGGGGTGGGTATGAATGACAATGAAGTAGAACAGAGCCCTGTACACATTTTAAAATTAACTGTAAATTCGGTATTTCTTATAAAGTGTCAGTGTTGAATTCTTTTTGGGTCGTAAAGACAAAAAAATAAACACCCGGGAGCCAGTGAAGATCTTTGAAATGCCTTGCATGATGTGATCATCACAGTGAAGTGGAGCTGTGATTATCACATGATGTAGAGCATTATGTATTCAGACACAGCACATCACAGCTACACTTCAACACGATCAAGTGTAGCTGTGATATGCTGTGTCTGTAGTCTGCGAAAGAGCATGCTGTCCTTCCACACTCACTATTGGCTCAGAATGAGTAAGTGTTGAACTAACCCCAAGGCTGTGGGCGTGCGTTTGGCATAGTGAGAGAGACTGATAAAGGCCATGATGTAAGCTTGACTATGCTGACTATTTAATGAAGGGGATGGTATGATGACCAGACACCTCATGCCCTAAGAGAACTAGATTTTGAATCAGTTCCACAACACATTTACTCAGCATGAACTGTACTGGTCTGTGCTTTGCTATAAATTCATTTAACACTTACAATGGGTTGCTTATGGTGCCCCTAACTCATTAAGGCAGAGCGGATCAAATCTCATCTCAAAGCTTTAATTCAACTTTAACACATGTCAGTTCTATTTTTATAATGGTCTTGTACCGGCGGGGAGAGCACTTTGGTGTCCAGCAGGTGTGTACAGACATCCTGGACAGGTGGGATTTCCAGGAGGCGCGCAGCGGCAAGGATGTCAGCCACACTGCTATGGCTGACTGTCAACGTGGCTGTGTAGGCAAAGTCCAACAACGCTCCCAGAGCCTCCGCCGCCACAAAGTCGATGTTGTAGACGTTCTGTTGGTCAGCGGCAACACCGGAAGTGAAGAGCTTGTGGAAGTAGGAGCTGCAGGACGCCAGGACGGAACGATGAGCTGGGAACTCCCGGTCCTGGGTAACCAGGAGCACGTCACACAGCAGGCCGCTTAGCCGCTGCTTGTTCAGGCTGCCAAGGATGTCTGCGCTGTGCTCAGGGAAGGGGATCCCCACGGGGCCTTCCTCTGCCTCCCCTGCCCCTCCTCTCCCTCCTCCACCACCGCTGCTTGCTGTCCCCCTGAGCCGCCTTCCGCCCCTCCCACCGGCTCCTGACGACATCTTCCACCAGCCTGCCGCCGAGCCGCCTAGCACAGCCCCCACCCGTGTATCCGTCCTGCCGTCTGTCCGTCTGCCTGTCTGAGGGTAAAAGTGTTGGATAGAGGGATGGGATGGAGGGGTGAGACAAAAAGGAAAATAAGAGATCAGTTCATGCCATTCTTTATGTGGATAAAGAAAGAGAGAGGAATATTGATTAATTGATTGACCACAGTCAGAAATATACACCAGAACGCTTCAGAACACAACCCAGTACACACAGAACGTTCACTGAGGTCACAGTTGAAAAATACACACATAAAGACTCGTATCTACAAAGTCGGGTCATATCAGGTTGCTGGCCAATTAGCATTGTTATCAGCTATAAAACAGGTTTGGTAACAAGCATGTTGATATATGAGCTTTCAAAGCAAGACATCACAGATAAAAAAACAACAACCACAAAATCATTTAATATGGCATGGCAACATCTGTCAAACACAGACAAACTGCAATGACTTAGAAACAACTATAACAAGTTGAAATATAATAGTATAACAGTATACAGTGCATATGTGGTTTATGAATACTGATAATTGGTCTGAAACCTAATATGACCCATTTAAACATTTGTTTGTATTATTTTTCTCTATCCTATATATTGTATGCTCATGACCTTCATCCAAGGAAACTGTGTACTGACTTTTTCAGTCTCTAAATAGAATCTAAAATGATTCACTCTAACAAGTCATCTTTATTCATTAATATCCTGGCAATGCAACAACTTCTCTACTGATTTTTCATGCCAACTCATCGATAGGTTCATGTTAATGTGTGTTTTAATACACAAGCCATACATATCAAAATTCGTCACATAACGTGTTTCTTATACCCAAAGACTAATCAAAGTAATTCAAGTTGTGAAAAACCTGAAACTGAACTTCACATTGGATGCTTTACATTTTCCATTCATGTTGAATGCTGTAAATAATAATTTTTCTAAGGAGCTCCAAAAATGAAAGTAGCAAAAATAGACAATTCAAGCATTTAACTCAAGAGCCTTAAGAGAGTGTCCTAAGTAACTGGAAAGAAACCACACAGTAACACGTCAGTGCGGCACATCACAATCTGATTTTAAATCGACTGGCATAACAGGTATATTTACATCTTTACTACAAAACAACAGCAAAATGACAATGTGCAATTCATAAGTTTCTGAACCATTTTAACTATATTTTGCCTTCTAAAACACCATGAGTGTGGGAAGGACTAAGTGAAGATGTTTGCACTATATACTGTATGTGTGCAGGTAGTCGAGTGCCTGTTTCCTTGTATACGTGCCTACATTTATGGGTGTGTGTGCATGCACTCATGCAAGAAACCAAGTAAGAGGTCGTGGAGGACAGATAGGCAGAGGGCAGTGGGGATCAGAGTGCATGCTGGGAGCTGGGCTGTGCAACTCGTGCGCTCTGTGTCAGTCGAGAGCTAGGGAGGAGAGCGAGGGAGGTGGAGGAAAGGGGGGTGGTAGGCGGGGGGGGTGCCAGAGCAGACCCTGTGGAAAAACTCCACAGGAGGAGGAAGAGGACACGCAACAAGCTGCGAGGGAACAGTATTAAAAAGGGAGGTTGTCAATCCGGTCTGAGCTGGTTACCCCACCCTGTACTGTGTGCCAAGTTTCAGGAAAGGCTGTCCCCTCGCTCACGTGTGGGGGGGAGATTAAAATGATCGACTGAAGCCTGCGCAGTGGGGGGAGCGGGGGGGTTCAGCAGAACAAGCCATCCTCGATTTCTCTATTAACACACTCACACAAGCAAATACTGTAACACCACAGAGACATCAATAACGCACAAAACACACACGCACGTAAAACACGCATATAGGCCATTCACCCCATCCAACCCTCGCCCCCCCCTTCTCCATCTGCCAGGGAGACCCAGCAGGGGGTGAGGCCGGGGGGTGGGGTTGGAGGATGCGTTGAGTGTGTCGCTCTCTACAAGGATGAGGCATTCAAATGACATTCCTTCAGATCAGCCCTCCTGGTATGTTCGTACGCTACACCCCACTACCAAACCTGCCTAACCTGGCTGCCTCTCCTCTCTCCTACCTGTGTTCACCTTTTCTCTTTCTTGTTATGTTCTGTTTTCTCCTGTCAAAAGCAACGCCTATTTGTCTCCACACCTAGAAATCTGGCAACATGTCAATCTGTCCACAGGTAAGAGTTAGGTTAAGTCTTTTAAAAAGGCTTCTCTGGAGGGGCAGGCAGAAGGAGGAGAGCCAACGTTTGTTGAAACTTATGTACCTCTAAATGGGTCAATGATTGTTTTCATTTAGGCTACACATCTTGATAAAGAGAATACTGAGATAAAAGTTTGTACTTTCAAATAACACAAGACTACTCTCTTGTTTGATAAATGGTACAAAGTTTAATGGTTGGACCATTTCTTGCTCCTTACTTTACGCTTCTTACTTAACTCAGTTCAGTTTTGATAGGCAACTGTCCACAAACCCTCCGCAAACACAGCCAATTTCTTTTACAAAGCTCCGGGCTGCCAGACATATGAGCAAATTTTATTATCCAACCCCTCATCTGAATATGCTGAGTGAGGGGAGGGAGACGAGGGCAAAGACAAAGAGAGATGGCACAGGAGGGGGGAGTGAGGGAGGGAGGGAGGAAGAGAGAGCAGAGTGAGATGGAGAGGGAAGACAGAGCAAGAGAAAGGGCAACCACATGGCTACCGGTCACGTCCTTCACAGGTGGAAAATGATCTCTGAGAGCCCATCCAGACCCCAGCCAACCTGCTTTTATAACACAGGCACAGAGCACCTGCACTAGAACTGGCTTTGCTGCAAGCTTGCATAGTGCGTTATCCCCCTTACATACACTGCTGACCCTGGGTCACGGCTTTGTGGGGTAAAGAAGCTGAGCTGAGAGGAGATAAAACACACACACACACACACACACACACACACACACACACACGCAAACACAATTCAGTGCCAACAAAGCATGGAGGGACTACTCTGCATACAGGAGCCACCTGTCCCCGAATAACCTGTAAAGAGCACTAAGAAAGAAAGAAAGAGGAAACACAGTGCAACAAACCTGATCCTGACACCTCCTCATGGCTTGAAACATTCCTTATCACTAATTCATGCCTGTGGGTGACAAGGCCTGCAGCCCAGCACAAAGCAGCGCAGCAACTGTCTGTGTCCCTGATGTTTCCACTTCCCAGGGAAGGGCCTTCCCTCAATGCCCCGTTCCTGAGCGCCCAGGCCTGCTTTGCAAGTCAAACAACCGCTTTAACACAGGACCCACCCATCTCATCCGCGCCCTGATCACCTCCATCTTATCCGTAACCTCCCTCTACCCCTTCCCATATATCTACACACAGCAAGAACAGAAATCAAAATTACGCATCAGAGACGAAACAACCAACCACGGTCTTCTTCTCCGTTTCCGTTTTGCTGTTACTTCAGTTGACTGGGCTGTGTGTCTGTGTGTAATATCTATGCCATGGCAGTCCCACCCAATTTGCTTGTCATTCGCTGACAAACACGTTGTCATCAGGTTGTGGTTGCAGTTAGTAAAAGTGGTTTTATTTTTGCCTGATATGTATCATCTATGCAAGGACTGCCTAACTTCCACTCTCAAAGTATCTCTGTCTTTGGCTGACACATACCAGTCATTCCTAAATACAAAGGAACAAACTGTTAACCCTGTGCAACCTCAGATGTTTCTTAGACAAGGAATAAATAGCTTACTGGCACTTTTTGCGAGCCGTACACAACAACGTGTTTAAGGTTTTACTGAACCTGAGAAAGAGATACAGTTAAGATAATTACTATGAGACTATCAACTGCACTTTTGAGTTTGACTTGACTTCAGTGTGATTGAAAAGAGTGATTGGCTCATAAAAATAATGCAGAATTCAAAACTATTGAGCAACTCAACTTGAAGGAGCAATCAGAGCAAAGATAACTGAATCTGAATCGTTGATCCCTTAAATCATAAATATTAATGGAGCACAGATGGGCCACCTTTTAATACTGAAATACAGAGCAGTTGTTAATTTTATAACAAACACCTTGTTAAGTGTTATTAGCTTATTGCTTTTACGAGAGAACAATTCTATCAGGTCACTCCCGATTTACTCTGGTGAGGACTTTATTCATTCAACAGCTCACTTGCTATCAGATTAATTAATATATTTCAAATGTTAAGATTAGAAATAAAGCAGTAAAGCCAGGACAGAAAACAACAGAAAATAATCTGTATGTTAAATAAGTAGAGGAATTTGGTTGGGCCTTTGATATGGTCTATGCTTCCCCTAACCATTTATTTATTATTTCTCTTCCCTGCCCTGTCCTCATTTCACTGACTATCTCAACTGGCCTCTATGGCAACAACCCTGCCTAGCCCGCCCTGCTGCATGGGAATCACTTCTCTCAGGTCAAGAGGATTCAAGGTTGGACCAAGATAATGCAGGATAATCGGAATGAGGAGGGGGTGGCAGTTCCAAGGAAAAGTGGATTGTGAGCAAGTGCCACAGCCAAGTGACTCACCGCTGCCAGTAGTGGAAGGAAACCTGATTGGTCATATTCAGAGTGAAGCAGGAAGAGGGCAAGTGACTGATAAAACTGAAGTTGCGAGGGCTGGTCTAGGTCCTGGCAGCTTTTACTAGAAGCTAACCAGGAAGCGCTGCCAAAACATAGACACAAAGCCAGTGAAAAGGTAGTGGGCGAGGCAGGGTGTTAAACTCACAAGCTCACTCATAACTCCTGAGCGTATGGTGGCCTAGGAATCCGGCTCAGATGTCAATGATAAACTCAGATCTCATTCAGTTACCTGGTGTAACCTGCTTCAATAAGAGGAAAGGTAACCACCCACAAGTTGGGCAAAGTTTAATGTGAGGAAGCTAGAAGTGGGTTTTATGATGTTCTTATAAAAAAAAGGTCTGTGTTTTATGCTGTCAGATAGCAAAGGAGCCGTCAAAGTGAAATCTGCTGCTGCTTACTACTCGTATGAGCTCTCACACTGTTCTTAATGTGTCTATATTTTGTTTTCTTGCTTGTTTGTATCAGTCAGACCCACTGTATAGCCACAAGCTAGCAAATACAAAGAGTGCCCAGAAGAAAACATTGTAATTCAATCCAGAATGACAGCTGTGAATGACTACTTTTGCAAAAGTTTCATTTTTTAAAATAGTTTTGACACAATAACAGAAAAATGGTGATTCAATTCTACGGTAATGTTTGAGTTTGTAGTTTATGGTGTTGGATTGCTTTATACTGTAAAACAGAAACACATCTACACTGTTGTGTTTGTGTCTGAAATGTCACTATCAAATGAATTCATTCATTCATTTCATAATGTTAGTTTTGTTAAGTAAAGATTATTCACTAACAATAACTATACACCGAAACAGTCTTTACTTTCATGCCAGTTAAAATATTGTCTGCTGGCTGATATTTCATTGTGAAGCCATGAGTCCTACAACACATGTCTTGGGACAGTAGCCTTTCACAAGCTGCACTGTAATAAAACCACATTCACGGTCTGAGTTCCTCTTAGACTGCGTAACAAGCTCTGACACTGCCATGCTGCCAACCAGGAAGTGTAACAAAATCTAACACATGGCTTCAGAAACAGCACTACAGCCCAACACGATGTTGTCCAGCAGAATTCAAGCTGGCCACTTGGTCAGTCCGCAGGGCCAACGTGCCCCGGCTGCGCCACTTTGTGCATGCGCAGCCCAACAAGGGAAGAGGACTTCCTGTGAGTCTGTGGCAGGCGTGTAACAGAACCCGCTCTGTTATCAGATGACCAGCTCTCTACTTGCTCGCTCTCTCTGTCCCTACTGTCTGACCCTCTCTCTCCCTTCCTCTCATCTGTCGCTCTCATCTCATCATTGCTCCATCTCTGTCTCAGACTCTGCACTGCACAGTACCCACAACATCACCCACTTCCCCTTTCCACTGCTGAGGAGGCAAAGCAGTGCAGACCCACCCACCCTCCTGTATCTCGATGTGCGTTACAGCAACCCACCCATCTTCTCTCCTGTTTCATCCCAAACCAATTCACTAAATCAACATGCAGACAGTGTCAGATTGGTCACATATCCCCTTTCTGATCAGTTGGCCTTTCTGCTTAATTAAAAGGAGGATTCTGCTACATTTGTACTGGTATATCTCTGTACTACAGTGATTAATATGAATACATTATCCTGTTGACCAAAGCCTACCACCTTCAAGTAGTTTTTACAGTATATTGGAAATGTAAAAACCCTCAATTAACATATCACTAAAAGACATAATCTATCTCTTAGTGTGAAAATTCAAGACTAGCTTTACCCCGACCCTGAAAAATATCCCAGCCTCTTCCTCTCCCACTCTAATTTGATCAGGTTGTGTTGGCCTCTCCATAATAAATGTCCCAGAAGAGAACAGAAGAAGCCCCTTTACTCCCCCTAGACTTCAGCACAACAACAGAAAAACAACAGAGAGGGGTCTGTCTATCTGCCTAGCCAGGCTGGAAGCTGTGGTATACTGAGCAGCTGACCAGGGGAACCAAACATTAGGGGGAAGTGAAGCTTCATTCACTAAGGAAGAGGCAGATGAAAGTATTCAAACTGTACACAAATGTTTTTAACTTACAAACCTATAGCGATAGAAAAGCAGCACAGAAATAATTCTGTTTGGTACAAACAAATCTGATCTTTGATTCCCCCATATGGGCCATAATACATCATTTGACCACATAAAGAAAACGTTGAACAAACATAATGACTGTTACATGTAGTGCATTGTATACAGCCAACATTTCACTCTAAAATAAAGCCTCAAACTGCCACGGCGACATCACGCAACCTGTCTTCTCAGTCTGTCTGAACCTGCTAGTTTCAGGCCATAGTGGTGTAGGCACAAACATACAGGAATATCAAACTGTATTCAGCCTCACCGCCAAATTGATGGGTGGTGTCTTGGACCTGCCCACAGCCACTGAAGTCCCCTGCAATTCCCCTGGAGTCTATTGTTGGTAACACAGACACACACGCATGCACACAAGCACACACACAAACACATATGGCGTCCTAGTTTAACCTCTTGCTGGAATTCACTTGAACTAACTATACATTTCTTCTGTGGTAGTACATAGGAAGTGGCATAGAGAGGTAGCATCAGGACAATGTTTACTGTAACCAGTTCTTTCTGTGACATTGAACTTGCTTGCTGGCACCTTCTTAGAGGCATTCCAAACACTTTCCCAGCATTTGGGCGTCTTCATGTACTGTGCTTCTTGTACCCTCTCCGTGCCCACACGTTTAAAAAACGGGTTCGACAAGTATGCAAAGCCAAAAAAATATGCATCTGGTTATCGAGCAAGGCAGTCCGGGTTCCTGTGAAGTCTTCAAACCACGAGCCACAAGCAAGCAGGACATGACAGGCGAGATTAGAATCTGCTTTTAACAAGATGCTGGTGAGGACAGGGGGTGAGTGGAAATGTCATGAGATTGACCATGGTGTGAGTTGCTGGGAAAAACTGAACTCGATCAGAAAGTATACAAGTTCTCCAGCATAGTGCACAAAGTTACCAGAGCTTAAGTTTTACTTTAATATTGCATTAAAGCAGCTTACCCTAGCAGTGAAACCCAATTGTCACAAGATGTGTCACATATTTTCCCCTTCAGCGAGATGTCCTTTACTGAGATTTTTCAAACAAACTATTACTGAACACCCCACCTGTGCTCTGTCAGCTACTGTATGTACACAGATACGCTACTTTTGCCACAGTCTAACAAACATCTGATGCAGTGGTTTTTGTGGAATTACTTTAACACCCCAAAAGAAGCAGCGGTACAGGATGTGCAACTGTCTTCATCTTCTCACCCTACTAATAATAGCAGCAGTGCCATTTAATCACAGCAGAAGACGAGAACATTAAAAGAATATTGTGCCATAATAAGATAAAAACAACACTGATGAGCAATGAGCTTGCAAGCTTGCAGTTAAAAAGTTACCCTGATGTGAATGAAAACTTTACGACAAAAAGGTATTTCTCTGAGCAGCGTTCTGTGCAGCACCTTACGCTCAGCACTGACCTATTTGCCATTCCCTCCTTTATCTGCAAGTGGGTCAAGAACTCTGAACTCCATCAAGCCCCATCTCTCTCACTCTCCTTCACACACAACACGCTATGGTATTTATTTCCTCTGCCTGTCTCTCTCCTCCTCTCAGTCACGGTCTAAAAAGATACAGTGTTTGTGTGTATGTGGATGTCTTTAGAGTGCTTACCAAATAGGCAGAAAATGTTTCCCGGGCCCTTTCTGCCTCCCCTGC